GGGCAAAAAATTGGGGGGTACAAAAAATGGGGAGAAAAATTGGGGTTTACAAAAATCTGGGGAAAAAAATGGGGGGGTACAAAAAATGGGGGAAAAAAGTCGGGGGGTACAAAAAATTGGTACAAAAAATCGTGGGTGACCCAGAGGGGAGGGCAGAGTGGGGGATACGCCTTTCTGGGTAGGACAGAGCACTGCAGGGATGCTCACAACCATGATGTTTTGGAGCACGTGGTGATGGGTGTTATTGAGGGCTGAGCACCAACACGTGCGTGCCTTTTGGGTGTTGCATATGTGGGTCCCTCCTGAGCACCCAGAGGGACTCTCTTCCCATTTCCTTAGCAGGTGGGAGGCAGGGCACGGGATGTGGGCCATGGGGCAACCCCACAGGCAAGCAGAGAGCCCTGAGCACCTCACAACGAGGTGCTCATGGACAACGAGCCGCTTGTGCTGCCAACAGGTGCCTGGGCCACCCTGTTGGCACAGGTGGGGCAGCTGGCAGGGGCTCTGAACAACGCACAAGGCCGTCTCACCAATGCCAGCCAGGCCACCAGCTGCTCTGGCCACGGACCCCCCAAGACCTGCATCCTGCTGTCGGAGATCGGGGCCGTGCTGCAGTCGGCACAGCGGGAGATCCTGAATGCTGCAGACACCCTGGCTACCACAGTGAGCTGGGCTCCTGGCGGGGCTGGTGGCGATCCTGGGGGGCAGTAGGATGGGCCCCAGGACAGGTGGGGTGGGATGCGACCAGCAGAGTGGGTGAGCAGGAAAGCCTGGGGTCTGTGTGGGTATAACCCTCCTTGCAGCTGAGTCAAGAGGAGCTATTTCCCTTGCTCCAGCCCTTTGGGAGGGTCTTGGTGCTGGGCTGGTGGGGCTTGAGAGTCCCTCCTCCTTGCCAGGGTCTCACTGCTGCTGTTTGCATTTCAAGGAGATTCCCCAGGATATCCCTCAGCAGCCCACAAACTGGAGCCGCTGGGTGCTGGAGGCACGGGCTCTGTCCGAGAGGTACGGCTGCAACAGGCACACGAGGTGGCTGCCCAGCCAGGGGTGCGGGGAGGCCGCTCCTTTCCCAGGGGGCCACTCCTAATATCACATCTCTGAGTGTTCTTGTCCCTGCAGCCACGAGGGCGCTGTTGCAGAGGTGGAAGCGGTGGTCAGGAGAGCGCTGCGTGCCTCCAACGCCAGCTCCGAGCTCCTGCGGAGTCTGCTGGAAGGGAACGCCACGCGGGATGCGCAGCGTGAGCTGGAGGCTGGGTGAGGGGCTGGCAGGGCACCACAGCTCCTTGCCTCTGGCCAGGTCCCTGTTACGGGACTCGATCACAGTGATTTGGCATCTGTCCAACTGGGAGATGTGCTGAGCCCTGTCAAAATCGTTGCACCACAGTGTTGCCAAGTAGAAAGACAGGGTGCTCCATACTGTGGGTGTTTGAGGAAAAGCCCCCAACCTTTTCTGCTGTGTCTGTGTCTGGAGCCAGGTCTCCCTCCTTTAAGGGACCAGAGGGCTCGGGCTGACAGCAGCATCCTGTCCTCACAGGTACGAGGAGATCCAGCGGGCGCAGGAGGAGCTGGGTGTGGGCATGGAAGAGGCCAGGAGAGCTTTGTCAGCCGTGCAACAGGCGAATGCAGACATGGCCAAGAAAATTCTGCAGGTGGCTGCTCTGGGGCAGGTGAGCAGCACCCAAGCTACAGCTCCTGCTGGTAACCCTACCCCCTGAGCACTGCTGCCTTCCCGAGCTGGGAGATGCTTTCACAGAGCTCTGGCATTCCTGACCCCACAGCAGGTACTGCCAGTGCAAGCTGGAGCCCTGGCACAGGACCTGGCCATGCTGGAACAGGCAGCAGTGGCCCAAGAGCTGTTGGCTCAGCAGGCTGTTGAGGCATCCCACACGCTGGCAGCTGGATTGCGCCTGGAGCTGCAGAGGACTCATGTCTTTGAGCAGGTAACTGCTGCTCACTTGCGTGGGGAGCCCCATTCCTGTTGCTCCAGTGACAGGAGGGACTGTGCCTACAGCCAGGGAAAGGATGTTTTGGGAGACATCTCCCCTTGGGCTCATGGGTCTCCCAAGGAGCTCACATGCCAAATGAGAGCAGGCTGAAACTCACATTTCTCAGCACTCCTCAGCCTCACTCCTTCCGTCTCCTCTCCCAGCTGCGGGACCGGGCTGGCTCTGCCCGTGACACGGCCACCTCGGCTGTCTCCCATGGAAAAGCTGTGCACTCTGATGCTGAGTCCCTCCTGGCCAGCCTGGAAGGTAAAAGGCACCAGTCAGAGCATGTCCAGCCACAGCTTGGCTCTCACCACACTGGCTCTAGGTGCCAAGTGGAGAAGGGCCCATTTGCCCCCACAGTTTGGTGAAGGCCAGTTTGTCCCCACAGGCACGAGGAAGATGCTGCGGCATCGGAAGGGCCCGGCTGCCCTGAGGAGGAGGATGGCCACTGTGCGGAACAGGGTTTTGGTGGATGCCCAGAAGAAGATTAAACAGGCAGAGAAGACACTGGGAAACTCCTTGTCCGTCTCCACCATGGCCCAGAGGACAGCTGGAGAGGCTAAGCGAGTCTCTGAGGAGAATGCCAAGGTTTGAGTGGGGTGTGGGGAACTGCTGGGCAGAGCCAGGCTGGCAGCCACCACAGGCAGAGCCTGGTCTGCTGCAGGCAGGGCTGCGTGTCCCCAGGTGACTGTCCCCACCTCCATCCCTTCGCAGAGGGCACGGGCTGTGCTGCAGGAGAGCAAACAGGCCCACAGGCACGCCAGACAGCTCGCCAGGCGCGCCAATGAGACCCAGCGGGAGCTATCCCGACAGGAGCACGTGGCTGAGAAGCTCAGGGGGGAGCTGGAGGAAGCACACCGGGTGAGTTGGGTGCCCTTGGGCAGGTGGTGTCCTCTGGAGCCTGGGCAGGCTCGGGGATATTCCTGGGATCCCCTTTCCCATCCAGTCAAGGGCCAAGAGGGCCCCTGATCTGGGTTTCTGTCTCTTTTGAAAGGTGGGGACAGATGTGAGTGAGATGGCAAAAAGTCTCCAGGAAGCCCGGGGCTCACTCATGGCAGATATTGAGACCCTGAACAACCTGCTGAGCAGCCTTGGTGAGACCTGGGTGGGAATGGGGGGCAGGGTCCCAGGGAAGGGCTGGGTTCTCGGGGGCCCAGGGCTCTCCTGATCACTGATGCTGGGTGTCCTTCTCACCAGCCATCCAGGCTGAGCTGGGTGCTCTTTGGCTGAGATCACCCATGGTTTCAGCGAAAATTCTTGAAGGTTCATGTCTTGAGGAAAACCCCCATGAAGAACGAATTTGGGCTTGTTGAATGTGCGTGCTCATGCCTGGTGTGGGGACACTGATCTCCCTTGGCACCTTCAGAAGGAGCAGGGCTGGGTTGAGAGCTCAGTCCCTTTGGAGCTGAGGGATGTACTGGGCTGGGTTGACTCCTTGCTGTTGGTTGGTTTTGCTCCAGCTTCTCCTGCTTTGATCATCTGGGTACATTTCTGAGTACTCCAGGAGTCTTGCATCCAAGAAATTTTGCAAAGGGGTGGACATCATCACCCATCTCCAGGCCCTGCCTGGAGCCACAGTCCTGTTTGCTTATCTGTGATCACTGGAAAGCTGCAAAGCCTCCGTGCCCCACTGCACCCGCTCCCTTTAGTTTACCTGGTGCCAAGGGTCTGAGCCCCTGGAGCATGTCCAGAACCTCTCCTGCCTGGCTGCCTGCTCTCATTCATGTCCTCTCCCCTTGTCCAGGCAACCTGGAGCAGGACATGGAGGCGGAGGCTGTGCTGAGCGCCGGGCAAGTGCAGCTGGAGCGGCTGTGGCAGCGCCTGGCCACGCCGGGCTCCCTGGCTGGCCAGCTCAACTGGCTGCAGCAGGAGGCAGCCCGGCAGCAGGAGAAGATCCAAGCATTCGAGAGTGACTTGGCTGAGATCCGGGCCGACAAGCAGAACCTGGAGGATATTTTGCGGAGCCTCCCCGAGGGCTGCTCGAAGTGACCAGCTGCTGGCTGCTGCCCCATCCCCTCTGTGCCCCCCTGCACAGGGAAAGGCATGGGGAAGGACACCCTGTGATAACCAGCATCAATCCCTCCTACTGCTACTCACACTGCCCTCCACAGAGTATCACACCCCAGGTCTTTATCTGTACTGGTTCAGGCTCCGCATTCCGAGTGCTGTGCAGCAAGGCTCCAGCCACCAGCTCAGTCCTTGGGATGGGGGACAACCAGCTACCAGGGACCACCAACGTTTCTGTGCAGGATATGGGGCCATCACAGGGCTGGTTTCTCATCTTGGAGTGAACAAAGAACTGTCACAGATTTCCTCCATCCCTCCTTCCCCACCGCAGCATGGCACACTGGGCAGGGAGAGCTTACCAAGTATGTGGCATACCCAAGCTGTAACACCCAGCAGTCCCTCCTGCCCCAGGAGATGAGAGAGGCTCTCACCTGCTGCACAGTGCCTTGCAGTATCGTGCCCATGTGCTGTGGTCACAGAGGTGCAGAGAGGAATCCCAGCGAAGCGAGGCAGAGAGCTGCTCACCGGCGGGCATACAGCTTGTCTGTTTTCCAAGGGAAGGGAGGTTGCAGCAGGAAGGGCTAAATTAACAAGCAGAAGCAAAGCTGGGCCCTTACACAGCTCCTGGCAGGAAGGTGGGGCATCCTCTGCCTGCTGCAGGGTGAGAGCAGGGAGAGAACAGCTCTTGCTGTTCCCCTACTCCAGGGTAGCACAACGCTGCTGTTGCTTGCTTTAAGCCAGCCCCATGACTGCAGTCCCAGGGGCTGGGTGGCACAGGCACCAGGCTGAGAGGTGGGAGAGATGCATCACCCACAGCCCCCACATCAGCACCTGCACCCTCTACCCACTGGGAGGAGCTGGCTGGTGGCACCAGGCTGTGCAGCCAGCACGGACTGGATGGGGAACGGCTGGACAGCAGCTCCTGCCAGTGTCACTCCCACGAGGTGGCAGAGGTCGGTGGCTGTATTGCCTTTAAAGGAAAGGCATGTGTGTTCCCCTGTGCTCCCATGCGGGCTGGGCTGTGGCCATGCAGGCAGGTCCTGGCTCAGCCCACCCTGTGCTGGCTGTGCCGTGACTCCAGGTAGATGAAGTCATTGCCATAAGACCAAAAACAAGTCCCCAGGCTGGAGCAGGTTTCATTTTTTAACCAGTTTTACCTGTGTTTTTCTGCTCACAGTGCTGTAAATCGGGTTTGCTAAAGTCTTGTGTAATTTATGTAAAATTGCTGCCATGGATGTTGAATTCCCCCAGCAACATCTTCAGTGTGTCCAGTGGCCTGAAAGGGACATGGGATTTTCCTACTGAGAACAAACCCTTTGCCTTCATAATTCTGCCCAAAAGCTGCCCAAGGAGTGGGGTGCCAGAGCTGGGGGGATGTAATGGTAGGGGCTGCCCTCCCTCTGCCCAAGGACAGCTCTGGGAAAGCAAAATCACGGAGCAGTGAGAGCACAGTGTCATCCGGCTTGGCCAGAGGCAGGGAGCCGTGGCCACTTACCATCTCCCTGGGAGGACAATTATACATCTCCAGTGAACACACAGATTTGCTGCTGTTACAGAAATGTCAAGCCTCTGCCGTGTGCCTGGTGATGAAGATGTGGTTCATGCTCCCTTCTGCTCTCCCCAGAATTCTGTGTTTTTAGCTGGCAACACCTGCCTAGAGCTGTATCCATTAAAAAATCTTAATATAACACGCAGCTGCTCGGCCAGGGCGCGTGGCAGCGGGAGGGCAGACGCTGTACCCGCTCTTGCTGCTTTTAAAGAGCAGGGGCTGAAATGCGGCCGGATTTGGAGTGTTGAGGGGCGAACGCCCGACAATTCCTGCTAAACACCACTTTAGTACATGTTCCTAACATAAGGTGTCAGGCTGAGATCGCGGGGGCGATCGCCACAGCAGCTCCAGGCCGGGACACGCATCAGCCCGGCTGTGGCTGTCCCCTCGGTCCATCCCTTGTCCCGCTGCTCGCTCTCCAGGGTCTATCCAGCAGCTGGAAAGCGGCTGTGGCGTATCGCCCCCCCACCCCACGGAGCTCCTGCGGACCCTCGGCGCGGGGATGCCCATCCCGGGGTGCGGAGCGATGCCCGATGTGCAGAGGGGGCCGGTCCCTCGATCCCCCGCGGGTCCTCGCTGCCCTCCCGGCGCCCGGCGGGCTCCGCCACCTTCCCGCTGCCGGCGGCGGGCGGGGAAGGGGTTAAGGGCGGGGGGCGGAGGGCCCGGCCCGGCCCTGCCCGCCCCTATTTAAGGCGGCGGCGGGCACGGGGCGGCTCGGTGCGATGGCGGCTCCGCGCCGGCCGAGCGGCGGGGGGCTGCGGAGGGCCCCGCAGGACGGGCGGCTGGAGGAGATCAACAAGGTGCGGCCCCGGCGGGGGAGCGGGCTGGGGGAGAGGAGGAGGAGGGTGGTAGGTGTAGGGGGGGGGGGGAGCTGCCATCCCCTTTGCCCGACCCCCTTTGGAGAGGGGGATGTGGCCAGAGGAGGCGGGGGAGGGGGATCCGGCGGGGGTCGTGTTCCGTCCTCGCCGCCCCTTGGTGTTGCCGTCGCAGGTGGCTCTTTCCCCGCAGTGCCGTGGGGACCAGCTGCCGTGAAAGTTACCCTTGGGAACTTGCTCCAGCAAGAACAGGGGCTGTTGTTCTCCTGGAGGACTTCAACCTCCCCTTCACTGCATTGAGCGCTTCAACTTCTTTCTCAGCTTCTTCTTCCCGGAATGAGGAGCTGCTGCTGCTCAGAGCTGACTCCAGCCTTTCAAGCTTTTCACTACAGCGGATGGTGAATGTGTAGCCCAGGATGGCTGGACCTGCCACAAATCTTAAGCAGGGGGAATGGCAGCTCCTGGATTAGCGCAAAGTGCGCTGGGCTTTGTGCCCTTCATGCCAGGGTCAGGCAAGGTCCTTTCCCCGGAGCTTCGGTTTTGCCCTGTCCCTTGCTTGGCATGGCGGTGGGGGCAGTTCTCTTGGCATCCCTCCCGGCTAAGAGCGGTCCTGAGGGCGAAAAGAAGGGTTTAACCTTGAAACAATCAACGCTGGGATTTCTAGGGTAGTTTCCAGGTGGGTTTGGTGGTTGCCTGCTCCTATAGCCAGTGGCACCTTAGTGTTCCAGGTGGAGAAGTCAAATCGCTGCACAAGATGAGAGTCCGGAGGAGACGGTGGCTCACCTTGCCCTCAAACTGCCTGAGCTCTGAAAAGTGCCAATATGTTCCACCAGACAGCAGTGAGACAGTGGAGGTCAAGTTTATGTAGGTCATTGGAGAGGGAATTAAGTCATTAGTTAAGTCATTAGAAATGATTCAATTAATTAGAAACTAGGGTGTACTGCTGTGGATAAGAGTGGAAAAAGAAGTGCTGCAGCATTAAGGTGTAGAATAAGAGCACTTGGCTAAAAAGGAGCCCTTGAAAGGCAGACACGGCACACTCTGCTCCAAGAAGGGACATAGGTGAGCCTAAGATATCTCCCCTAGCCAAGGTGGAGTTTGCCCTTAGGTTGAGGATGAAGGGACTGTGCTGTACCTACTGCTGCAGCTTCTGCTGCTCCAGAACCATCCCCCAGTGTCACTCAGGCACAGGATGGATAATGTGATCTTCCAGCTGGTGGGAGCTGTAGGACTGAGTCTGGGAAGCTGTGCTTCCTGGGATGCTGCTGGTTTGCCTCTGCTGTATCCCAGGGTTGGGGGCTCTTCCTTCTCCCATATAGGGGACATAAGCTCCTATCAATCTCCTAAGCTGCCATCAGTTCTGGCTTTTTCTTGGGGTGAGGTCTGTACAACCAAAGCCAAAACAAGCTACATAACTTCCTGCTGATGGAGCTGCTTGTTTGCATCCTTGCTGCCCGGTGTGTTGGCTCATTACTGGGAGAGGGGGTTTGAGCAGCTCCAAACCAAGCTGCAGATAGCATGGGTAGCAGCTGCCCGTGGATCCTGAGGAGCCATCGTGCTCAGGGCAGCAGCCCCCAAGCTGCCCTGCTATGCTCTCTCTGCCAGCTCTGCATGGCAGTGGGGGAGCGCAGTGTGAACATTCGCACACCTCTCAGTCACAGAGCTGATAAGAAACTTGGGCTGATGCTGTGGCTGGAGCCAGGGAGGGGGTTTCCCAAGACCCAGAGAGCCCCTGGGTTGTAAAACAGTCAAGTGCTCCTAATAAAACCAATCAGGCTGAATTCCTGTCCGGCTTAATCTCACTGTCTCATCCTAACAATTAGCTCCCTCCCAGCCCTGTTTTCCTGGCTGGTTTCTTCCCTGGAGCTCTCACTGGGATAAGGGTCTGGCAGGCAGCATCCTGAGTGCACACATGCTGCTGAAGGACAGCTGAGTCCTACTATTGACTTTTCCAGCTTGAAAACGCTCCTCTGGGGTCCCCTCTTGCCTGTTCCCCTCTTCCTGGGGAAGGCAATCACATTGTTCAGCCTCGTGCATCAAGGTGGCAAGTCTAATCCAGCACAGATTAGTTTCAACCTAGTTTTATCCACTAATACACTGGGCTGTGGGGAAGAAATTCAGCCTGTTAGAGAGCAGATGCCCACTTCTTTCATCCAGAGCAGGCAGGAGCATGCCTCAGCCCCTTCCCAGCACCAGCAGGCAGGGCAGCTGGCATTGAGCACTTAAACATCCCAGTAGGAGCTTGGCCTGCTAGTTGGGGTCACCCTTTTGGGGAGCAAGGAAGAATTTATTTTTGCTAAGGTTGCCTTGCAGGTAGCTGGGACTTGGGTGACTGAGGTTATTGGCTTAGAAAAGTCTCTCAACAGCTCAAGAAAGACTGTTCAGGGCAGGAGCGGGGGAGAGGCTTATTAAGCAGTTCTTATTAATAGAACATGCCCCTTAAAATGGGAACTTTAGCAAAGGGCTCTAGGAGGAACTTCAGCCACTCTGAGTCACAGGCCCTGGGGACTGAATTCCTGTGTGCTATTGTGAGTGTTTGCCTTATCGCAGTCACAGCCCAGCTCACATACAATGTGGAGGGTGGAATGCCTTTCAAATACATCCCCCCCTATTGCTTCCTTCCACCTGGAGCAGAGCTGGGATACTGGTGGTCTATCCAGTCCCCCTCAGGCTGAAACTCAAGGAGTCCTAGATGTGCGCAGTGTCGCCTGTCCTGCTCTTGTACCCGCTCTTGGTGGGCTCCTGGGCACGTGGCCCTCAGCCATCATGCATGGATGTAACATCCCCTTTGGTCTTCACCATTTCTGTGGTGCTTCTTGCTCCCAGAGAGGTGCTGCGCTCTGCTTTCACACACCCTGTCCTGCTGGTGGGTTTGCTGCTCCTGCAGGGCAGGAGTGAAGCCGTGACCTGGTGGCCGGGAGATGCTTTGACCTTGTTTTGGTTTTCAGTGATGTTTGCCTTCCCCAGAGGGGATGGCAGCAGGTAACACTACTCCAGTCTCTGGTCACTTCTACTGCTGCCTGAGCCCAAGTCTCGGAGCTCAATTGGGCCCTTTGTGTTGGGCTGGTAAATGATACCCCTGGGTAGAAATAACTGAGATAAATGAAACTGAGTTGGCAGAGGAGAGCAAAAGAAGGAACTGGGAATGTCGCTTTTCACCACAGCTCTCAATTTGAGCTGGTGACCATGGTGATGAGGGAAGTCAATGTCACAGTGGCTTAGTGGGCATGGTCTCTAGTGGCACGTCTGGAGTTCACGAGGTGGGAGGACAGGGTGGCAGTCACTTCTGTCCTAGTGGGCTTCCTACAAAACCTTAGTTCAGCTGCAGGTGGAAGACTTGCCATAGCAGTGATTAACTGGCAGTGAAGGTTTGAGGACTCCCTGGGCAGGTCCAAGCTCCCCTGTCTCAGTGAGGAAGGAGGAAGCAGCTCCAGGTGTGTGGGCTGGAGGGACCCAGAGCAGAGGAGCAGGATTAGGGTGACTGACAGTGATCAGCACACAAGGCTGGTTGTGGCAGCAGAACCAGGCATGAGCCTGGGGCCGTGTCTTTGCTGGAGCTTCTCCAGCAGCCAGACTGGCACAGTTCATCTCACCTGGGGATAGCTGGATTCAGCCTTCCTTCTGGAAGGAATGAGTGCACCTTGGAGGCTGGAGAGCATCTGATCATGTGGATCTCCTGCAGTCCTGATGCTTTAGGTGGGGTTTCATTGGGTAGGTGGTCTCATTAATCACAAGCAACGCTTCTCCAGCACTACCAGAGCCAGAAATCCTCCTCTCTTAGTGACCCACTCCTGTCTTCCCCATGAGCACGGAGAACAGCAGTGAGGAACACATGCCCAGGGTAGGGAACAGCCTCAGCCCTCCATCCACAAACCCCTGGAGGGGTTTGTCCTGGACAGGCCCTGCATAAGCTGTGCAGATGTTAATGATTTCTACACTGAAGAATGTGGTGTTGTTGCTGAACACAGATCGAGTCATTAAGCTGCGCTGGGCTCGCTGGAGCTGGGCGGTGTGGGAGGGCAGGGACAGGAGCAAGACCCTGCTGCTCGCAGCTGCAGGGGGGTGTTGCTGGCAGGGCAGAGCAGTAGAGCTGGCTGTGCAAGTTGTGGTCTGTTCTCTTGGGTATCTGAAGGTTTTTGGGGGTGGGGCTAGGCACAAGTGACCAAAAGTGACCCAGGATTTCCCCTCCAGCGTGAGCAGGGCAGGGGGAGAAAATGGATAGCTGGTCTGAGAGAGTGAGAGCCTTTCCCTTAGCCCCACATACCCGTCCTCTTGGGTGTATGACATTTTGCAAACTTTGCCTGTTCTATTTGCAAGCCCTCAGAGGTTATCCAAGAGTTTGAAGTGTGAGATAAGAGTGCTTTTTGCAAGGACTAGGAGCCCTTGCTGGGAATAGGTGCCCAATCCACGTGCTATATGTGCCTTCAGTGGGGAGCTGAAACCTTGGGTCAGCAAGAAGATGGGGTTTCATGCAGTTATTTCAAAGGCACATGGAGTCCCATCTTCCCTTAAGCTGCTGGTGGGAAATCTGAGACACCAGAGGGATTCCCTTTGCACTGGAATTTTAATGACAAGGTGTGGAGGCATTCAGCCCATCTTCAAGTGTCCTGGTGCTGTTGGTCAGCTGTGGGTTTTCTGGGTAATACTGCCTCTGTACGTGCCCTCTAAGGTGTTTTCCTTTGCATCTTTAACCTTGGGGCTATTATTTTTTTCTGTGATAGGAATTTCTCTGTGATCCAAAGTTCAGTGATGAAGAAGACCTGGAGGAGAAGTTGGCAGCGTTCAAAGGTGAGAATGGGAGGGTTTCCCTGTCCTTTCAGCCTGACTGTTTGCTCTGAACCAGATTATCTTCCTCAGCACTTGGATCTTACCAGCCTGAGATTCTCTGCCAAATACAAGTGACTGAGCTGGGATGGGGATGCCTCCCCCTTGCTTGTGGAATTCGATGAAACTCCCTGGAGGGATGTTTTCCACACGAGCCTTTGTGCTTCTCCCACTTGCAGGGCAGGGGCATGTCACCCTGCAGAGATCCTGCCTGGTGGCTGAAATTACTGCAAAACCTGCTGCGTGGGGAAAACCCTGGGGAGCAGTGAAGGAGGGTGGTTTCTGTCTAGTTACCCACACAAGCTCACTGGCATAATGGACCAGGCAATAGCTGGACTCTTTTTTTTTCTTTTTTTTCTTTTTTTTTTTTCCCCAGTGGGTAGGAGGATCTCTTCCCACAGAGCAGAAGTCTCAGCTGCTTTCTGAAGGAGTTGGGGACTTTCTCTGCTCGAAAGTTTTATCAGTCTGATCTGGTCCTTCCCCAGCCACTTGACCCTGGAGGCAATGGCAGTAATAAGTCTAGTCCTGGCCAAAGCCTAACTCCAGTGGATCAGCAGATCTAATGCTTAGATTTGGGCCATTTGTTGGGACAGGGAGTAGAGAAACAGCTCAAAAGCCTGGAGTCCTCTGGAGCTTGTCCCCAAACTGGTTACAGGACAAGGTCTGGCAGGGCTGTTCTGGGTACTTCCACTTTCTTTCCAAGCAGTGGCTGAAGGCAGTTGAGAAAACATGCCTGTGCGTCACACTGCACTCAAGGCTTGTCCTCAGCCTGGCTCTAACCAAATAAAACCTGACCTTGCTTCCATTTCAGGCATTGTCTGCTATTTCCCTTTGAATTTTGGCTTTGCAATCCAGCATGGAGGAAGCTGGCTGGGGTTTTGTGATCCCTTACCCTGCTGGGCACAGAGGAGCCTCCTGTGCTCCCCGTTCTTTCTCTGTTGCCTTTTGTGTGACTTTGGCTTTTGGCTGCAGCCCTGCATTATTTTTTCCCATCACAATTGGGGCTCTTCAAACATTGCAACTGTAGGTCACAGGCACAGAATTCCCTGTAATGAGAGCCTTTGGCATCTCCTCCCGCTGCCTCGTGAGTTTGCCTCCGTGGCCTGTCCCGCTCTCCAACGCCTCCTCCAGCTCCCCCAACAATCAGCTCATTGTGTGATGATGGGGGGAGTGTTTCTTCTCTGCTACCCTTCCTGCTGCACCCGCCCCTAGCTGGGCCTGGGGAGCTCCTGTGCGGTGTTGGTGTAAATGTATTTGTGAGGGAGGGACCAATGCGTGGTTTTGCCCCACCAAATCCCTGCCACTGGGGTGGGAGGAAAAGATCAGTGTGCAAGCTGAGGCTGCTGTAAAGCTGCCTCTGTTCTCTGCACTTTTGGCTAAGTGTCAGCTGAGAAGAAAAGAAAACATGTGCTGGGCAGGGACGTGGCAGAGCAGGGTTTGTGTCCCCAGGCACATGCTGGGGTGTCTGACCCCTGCCAGGGAGGCAGCAGTTCATTTGCACAAGGTCGTTGTGGTGGGGCAGAGCGTGGGGAGAGACAGTCCCACATCAAGCATCACTTTGGTCCCCAAGCACATGTTGTGGCCCCAATTTCATCTTTGATCAGTTGCTGGATGCTTGAAGGGAGACATTTACTCCTGCCTGAAGCATGAGCAGGCTTTGGTTTGCATGTGATACTCCTGTAGGTCTGTCTTGGTCAGCTCATGACAGCAGTAATCCACGGGCTGAGACCCAGGTGAACACATCCAAGCCATTCCTCTGCTTCCTGCCCTAAGCTGCCCATCAGTCCACTTAACCCAGCAATTTCCTTTGGAAGGACAGGTCCTGGGAAGACTCTGCTGTGTGAAATAACCACCCTTCCCTTTGGCTCCTTAAATTAGCCTGCCACTTCTCCGTTCACGCTCATCTGCTTTGCTGGTGTCCCTGGAGGAGAGGCAAAAGGTCTTTTCCATTTTCCTTCCTGGGGGAAAGGAGCAGCCTGGAAGGGCTCAGTTAATTTGAGTCCTCGGGGGCTGTTGTGGGAGTGAGTGCTAACTGCAGGGCAAGCGGTGATTTCTCCAGCTCAGCGCTGATGGATGGTGGCAGCAGGCATCTTGCATCTTGCTCTTTTCATTTAGCACAGCTGAGATGATGGGGGGCCCCCTGAGGTGCTGGGAGCTGTATGGTCTGTAAGACAGACAAATCCTTGCCTGAAGAGCTTAAAGGCTAAATGGGGAACAGCAAAGGAGGGAGGGGGGGTCATAGAAAGCCCAGGTGTGCCACTCCAAAGGGCAGAAACCGCTCGGGATGGAATTCCTGATTTTTCTAACTGAAATCAATGCTCTGCCTGTTACAGCATGAGAGTTTTTTTGTCCTGCTGAGCTAATCAGACCTTCTGGAGCAGGTTCTGCCTTTCTCTGAGAATGCTGGAGTTGCTCGAGTCAGCAGTGTTTGACAGCAGGCTGGAAGGGCAAAAAAAAAAACCTGCTCCAGCATCACTGCTCCCAGGCATGTTCTTGGCTTGGCCCTCTTGATGTGGTCCTTGAGCATCTCTCCTGGCAGGAGGTGCTCTGGGAGCGAGCACAGTGTTGGGAGGACTGTGGAGTCTCTCCCTCGTTATTGCAGGCAACTGCGTCATTTAATCTCCCTCCTAAGCCGATCAAGCTTCATCTTGGGAGTGCTCAGGGGTTTGTTTTCCTTGCTACTCCTTCTGGGAGGCTGTTCAGAGCTTTGTTTTTCTGGCTGGAAACCTTTTAACGCTGCTCATGGCTAGCTGATACCTTGTTCTCATGCCAGTGTTTTCCTTCAGCTTAAATGAAAAGCAGCCACAATTACAGAGTGCTTAATTGTAGAGCCCTAGAACTGAGATAAGGGTACTAAAATCAGGCCTTGAGTGATCTCCCTCTCTGAAGTTTGCATTCAGCAGTATATCAATGTTATCTCCACATCTTTTATTTCATTGCCCCAAGCAGGCAGTGCTCTAAAGCCCTGCACAGCCCCTGCTCCAGCATCCTGCTAACTTGCTTCTGTGTCTCTTCCAGAGAAATACATGGAGTTTGACCTGAACAATCAAGGGGAGATTGGTGAGTGACTCTGAAGGATGCTGGGCTGGAAGAACAACTGAGTCTCTGCTGAGGTGGTGTCTGCTGCTGTATCTGCTGCTTTGTGGCCTTTTCTGTGTCCAGCCTCGCTTGAACCTTGATTTTTCAGCCAGAGGCTTCCTTGGCTTTCTAGCTCCTGCCTCTCAGCTTCCTTAGTCTCTCCTTGCCTACTTCAAGATCTAAGCTCTTCTCAGTCTTGTTCTCCCAGAGTTCTGTTTAGCTCCTCCACTTCTTTCTGCTCTAAATGCTTTTTTTTTAAAATTTACTGAGGCTTTCTTCTCAATCCTCTACTGGAAAGCTGAGAATCCAGAGCTGGGAACCCCCAGGGCTTGGACAATCCTGGGGTTTGCCTGGCTTGAGGCAGAAGCTGTGTAAATCCATGAGCGTTTCTGGTGCAGAGCAGCTCTTTGCTTTGCAGGGAGGGGAGCAGAGGGAAGCAAAGGACTTGGGTGTGAGTCTGGCTCAGCTGAGCAACCCTGCCTTGGGTCCAGAAAGCACCAGTTACATAAAGACCCAGCCTTCTGCAGGCCTGGAGCTGACATTGAAGTGTAACCACTTGTGACCTGCGCCCTTCCAGGAGGCTGCTGCCTCATTCCCCTCCTCCAGCTGAAGCGAAGCCCGTGGGGAGCTGGAAGAGGCCTGACTCAGGGTTTCCGGGAGGGGAAGGGGCCCGCAGGTCTCAGCAGGCAGCAGTGCCGTGGAAGGAAATGGCCTGTGGCGCTGGGCAGGGGCGCCTGCTCCCCACAGCTTGTTTGTCTCCAGCTTTAACCCCGGTCTTGCTTCCCTCCTCCCCATCCTTGTGATTCTTGGCACCGCACTCCGAGCTAGAGAGCAGTGTCCCCACGTGTCTCTGGAGCACTGGGAGAGTTGTCCCTCTTCTCTGAGTGTGCTGTGCTTTTATCCTGAGCTGCAGAACTGGGCAGTGATGCTCTGTACTGGGCAGCACAGCAGTAAACTGTACTGGAAGGCTTCTCATGGCTTTTGGCAACAGCTTGATGCTGTCAGCCCTGGGGCCCACAGGTGAGGTGGGAACTCATGGTTATGAGTTCCCTAGGGTCGGCCTGTGCTCAGCGTGGTCACAGCTGAACAGCACCAGTTTCCTTATTCTTGTAGATTTGATGTCTGTCAAAAGGATGATGGAGAAGCTGGGGGCTCCGAAGACCCACCTCGAACTGAAGAAGATGATCTCTGAGGTGACTGGAGGGGTCAGCGACACCATCTCGTACCAGGACTTTGTCAACGTGATGCTTGGAAAACGCTCTGCTGTGCTTAAACTGTGAGTGTCCCGGGGTGGAGCGGGGCAGACACGGGACCTGAGCTGGGAAGCAGAAGCTGCTCTGTCTGGTGGAGGTGGAGCTGTTCAGCATCTGTGGAGGGAGACAGGACCCTTCTGAAGGGGGAGTCTGCAGAGTGACATGAGAGGGTGTATAAGCTCATGTCCAGGCTGAGCAGTGGCAAGTGCTCCCAGCAGAGCTGCCTGCTGTGTGTTAGCACAGCCTTCCTCCCACATGCTGCTCCATGGGAGTGATCCTCCTCCTTTCCCGAGGGTGTGCAGGCATTCAGCACTGCAGGACTTCTTCCTGTCTCTTCCCTGAGGCTCCTGCTGGCTTTGGGGCACAGGCTTCCCCTGTGGATGGTAGCAGGACTTGAGTGGTGAATGATGGTCCTGCCAACAGCAGCAGTGCTGGCTCCCGTTTCCCACAGGATGGTCTGTCCCTGCCTGATTTTTTGGAGGCGGTAGGAGATGGGGCACATGCTTGAAACAGCTGGCACATGCTGGGAGAGGTTTTCTGTGGTACAGGCTGCCAGCACTAGCCTCCCACGGCCCCCTCTGCCCTCTCAACAGGGCTCTGAAAGTGCTGCTGTAACAAATGGCTTCCAAACACTTGCTTGGCTCCATCTCCATCCCATTGAAGCCTGGTGTTTCCTTTCACAGCCACAGAGGCTGGCCCTGCTTTTGTGTTTGTGACCACCATGAATAGGAGCAGCTCCTCTCCATCCTCCTTACCCCCTTTTTGAAGGCAGCTTTAGAAACACAGCCAGCTTTCAGGGCAGGTTGGGAGGAAGGTTCCTGTAAGCTGCTACGTCCTTGCTGTCAGTGAGTCTCCCCACTGTGTGCCCTGTTTCTGTGTGTTGGGATGCTCCTCTTCCAAGCACGCACAGACTTCTGACATCCCTGCTCCTCCTTTCTTTCCCCACAGAACCAGACTGAGCCTGCAGCCTGTCCTGTATCTTCCATCCCTCCTCCCAGCTGCAGCAGCTTTCACAAACAGGTCCCTTCTCTTGCTAACAGAAACCCCATTGTCTGTTGGACTCTCTAGAGCAGGAGCAGAAATGTAAAACTCTGTCCTAAGAGCAGTGCAGTCCTTTGATCCATCGAGGCAGCTGGCATTCCCAGCGTAGCTGCAGTCCTTAGGGAGGAAGACAGTGCTAGTGGTTGCAAAATGCTTGGGATTCCTATAGCCAGTCCCTGCCCTCTCCCTGGACTGTAATTGCTGTTGCTTGCTTGGTTTTGGTTTCTGAACGCTGTGCTGTGTGGTTACGTGCAAGGTGGGCCAGGGGTGGTGTTTGCTGTTACGCATCAGGAGTGCTTGGCCTGCTGTGTGTGCCCAGGGGATTTCGGAAGTGGCTGTCTAAATAAAATGTGCTAATCCTCTGGGCTCCGGCAGGAAAACCGGCAGAGACTTTGGGAACACGCTCCTGGAAGCTGCTGGGAAAGCCAGGCTGGCAGCACTGCCCTCTGTTGGCTTTCCTTCCTCTGTTAATTATCGGGTGCCCTTTGCAGACGAGCCAGATGCTCTTTTTCAGCAGATAATGCCCACTGATGGGTAAAGATGCATTTTATTTTTTTAATTATTATTTTTTAAATTGGTAATACCTGTTGTGTTTTGCAGGGTCATGATGTTTGAAGGAAAAGCCAATGAAAGCAACCCCAAACCTTCTGGTCCCCCTCCAGAGAGAGACATAGCCAGCCTCCCTTGAAGAGGACAGGCTGCAAAATGGGCACTGTTTGCTTTGCTGGTCTGTAAAAGAGGTTACCTGTGCTTTGTTACTTTTTACTGTGGACATTCCTAGTTTTCAACTAACCTGCCTTAGAGGAACAGCAAGGGAAGCCGGAGACCCCCAGCTCGTGTCTTTCTGCTGCTTGATCTCTTAGAAGCTGTAGCACCAAGTGTAATGTGAGACCAAAAAAAAAAAACCCACCCTGTGATCTTACTCTTTCCTCTGCTCTTCCTGCATTTCTCAGACGAGAAGCTGCTTTCTTCTCAGCATATGGATTCAGAGCTGTGCTTGTCGTAACAGGTACCTAAAGGGCCTTGCTGCCAGACATGGAGCATTTCTCTGGCAAAGCCCCTGGGAGCAGCTTCGTGGGTGAAAAGAAATAAGTGCCTTCTCTGCTCCATCCTGTACTTCCCGACTTTGGATTAGTTCTTCCCCTCCTGACCTCCCAGAAGTGCAAATCAGGCTCTGCCTGATCATGTTCTAGGTGGATGTGGGGATGTGCTTGGACACACAGAAATCTGCCTGCAGGGCTTGGGGTGGGCACGGCTGCCCTCAGGTACAGCTTCTGTCTGCTCCAGGGGCTCATCCTGCAGGCAGATCTCAGGGGTCCAACCCCCCCCCCCCACTGTGAGGGAGGATGGTTAAAGCCACCTTAGGGACCCCCTTCCTGATAAATCTCGACTTGGATCTGACCAGGAGCATAACCTCTGAACAGGCTGTTTGTCTGTCCCACCCACGGAGTGCAGAAACAAGCTGTGATGCCTTTGCAGCCCTGCAGGATGCCTGGGGGAAGTCAAACCTTCAGGTGAAAGAAAGCAAGCTTTGGGTGACCAAACTCTGGGCCCTGCCAGACCAGTTGCAGGTGAGGATCTGTCCTCAGGCAGCTGCTCTGTCCCTCTGGTTTTTGCAGACCTTCCTGGATGTGTTTCATCTGGGTCCCCTGGGCCTGTAGGGTGCATTTCCCTCGTAGATAAGCCCTCAAGTCTTCAAAATCAGAATGGCTGGAAGTGTGGAGTGTGAGCTGGGGCTGTGCTATCCGTGCTCTGGTTACTGTGGTGATTCTTGTTCCACGCACAATTTCTGGAACCCAGGTGTTTGCTCTTTGCCCTTTCCCTACTCTTTTCGTAAATGTTCTTGACAGCTTTCAACTTTTTTAAAATCATGGTTTAATAAGTACTTTTTTTTTAAAGGAAATACAGATGATTAACTCTACTAGGCTGATTGTTTCTGCCAAAGGCTGCACTTTTAAATAAAAATAATAAAAAAAACCCCATTCTCACTACTGTTTGTGTGAAAACCAAAACTGTAAGGGAGAGAAAAATTATGAGTAAAAGCAGCACCAGTCTACTTCAAGGACTGAAAATAAATCTCCTGAACCTACACTGTGTGTCAGTGTGTATTATCTCCTCTGAAGCTTGGTCCATATGATTGGTTGCAGATTAAGGGAGCTGGTGTCCAAGACTGTTAATATAAACCCCTAAGCAGATCCTGGAGATAGGTCTGGACTGTCTTGATCTGATCTTTGTCTGTAATAACTGACCAAATGCCATGGAGTTTGTGTGATGAAATGCAGAGGCCACCTCCTGAAAGCTGGTTTGTGATGGTTTTTTTTGTCTTTTTTTAACCCTGACTTACTGAAAGAGAGCAGGTGGCAGTGCTTGTTTTAAGGAATAAACAAGAGCAGACACTTGCAGTGCTTCTCTTGAAAGACTGTGGTGGATTTTTTCATCCCCTCTGCTCTTGAAGCAGTTGCCTGAGGTTTGTGTCTGATGTGAATTATCAAAAGAGTAGACCAGGTTTCCTGGGGAATGACTGGGTGCACTGTTTCCATGTGTTTCTCAAAAGGACAGGATTTCCCTGAGATCAGAGTCCCATGTTTGCTTTCTGCTGCCTGGTAGCCTCTGGGAATGCACCTGCTTTTCTGGGCTGTGTGTGTGAAACCATTGTTCAGCCAGAAAATAAAGGAAGCATATTACACAAGGGAAATTTGGATGTGGTTTGCCACAGGTCAGGTCACTGCCCAAGGCCATCAGTGCTTCTGTCTCTGTGGAAATCCTTGTCCTTTTTGGTCCTGGAAAAGAGAAGCACAATCTACTAAAGATGGAAACATCTCAATGTGTCCCCATAGGGCTGAGTGCTAGGGTGATGCCTGGTGCTGGTGCTCTGGCTAAGTGGGGGCTGAAGCCCTAAAACTTGAGGAGCAAGCAATGAAATTGAGGTCCTGTTGTGATCAAAACCCCACATGCTGCTTTCATGTTTCCCTGGAGCACAATAAAGCTATTCCAGCTCACAGAGCTTCTGTTTTTCCAGCTCAGCCACCCCTAAGTAGACGTGTACAGGGACTGACCCGGAGCATCCCTGCAGTCCATACCACGGGAACAAGATTTTACCTGAGCAAATGGCATAAAGGTGTGTCAGGGGAGGGTTAGGTTGGATATCAGGGCGGATCCCCTCAAGGTGGAGCTGGGATGGGGGTCCTGCAGCTCCCACCGGGTCTGGCCCCGCCCTCAGAACATGTGGAAAAAATCAGGACGAGAGGGCTTAATTTCGAGATTTACGTTGGACATCAGGAAGAATTTTTTTCCTAGAAAGGGCGATCAGACATCCGAAGGGGCTGCCCAGGGAGCTGGTGGAGTCGCCGTCCCTGGCGGCGCTCAAGGAAAGACTGGATGCGGCACTGAGTGCCGTGGACTAGCTGACGTGGTGGTTTGGCTCGATAACATCTGAGGTATTTTCCAACCTAACTGACTCTGTGTGTTGGGAAAAAAGAAAAAAAAAAAAGGAGGAGGATTTATAAACCCCAGGGCCCGCTGGGAGGACCCGGAGCAGCGAGAGCCGCGGCCAGAGCGGCGCGGGCGGAACCGGAAGCGGAAGTGTGTGGGGGCCGTCCCGGCGGGACCGCGGCCGCGGGGCCGCCATGGGGGACGATATGGACGTGATCCCCGAGCGGGAGATGAAGGTGAGGGGTGTAACGGGGCAGACCGCCGGCCAAGGAGGGGTTCGACAGGCGGCTTGGCTCGGGCTGGGGTCCTTGGCTTAGCGCTGGAGGGGAGCAGGGCTTGGGGAGGGCTTGGGCTGCGCTGCGGGGGGTGGTGGGCTCTGGAGGGGCTTGGGGGACTCGCGAACCGGGGTCGGCTCGGGGCGTCCTTTAAGGGTTTGTGAAGCACTTGAGGGCTCAGCAGAGTCTCCTACAAGGGGGTGGAAGGGAGGGTCTGGCGTGGCCTTTGATGGAGGGGGGTTTTGGTAACTCCTGGGGAAGGAACCACGGAATGGTTTGGGTTAGAAGGGACCGTAAAGACCCTCCCGTTCCACCCCTCTGCCGTTGGCAGGGACACCTCCCACCAGACCGGGTTGCTCCAAGCCCCGTCCAGCCTGGCCTTGGACACTTCGAGGGATGAAGGAGGGTTGGACGAGCCTTATTTTAGAAGAGTGATGCGTTTCTGAGCCCTCCGATGGGCGTGCCTTGTGCTGGGAATCTCCCAGCTTTGGGAGCAGCGTGGGGGGCTGTGGGGCAGTGTAAACTGGAGCCTTGCTGCGTGGTGCCAGCCTGGCTCGTGGCTGTGTAAGCAGGGACACGGGGGAACAGGTTCCTGGAGAACATGTGGGTCTTTATGCAGCTGCTTTCTGCCCTCAGAAACGGGGGAGTTGGGCTGTTTGTGTTGCAGAAGTTTCTGAGTTCCTGCAGCTCCTCAGGTTGCAGGGATGCACTTGCAGAATGCTCTGGAAATAATTTGGGAATAAAACTCAGACGCTTGATTGGAGTTACTGGCATTAGACCCAGTATTAGGTCTCCCTTCTCTCCTCGGGAAGGGAGACTCATTCCTAAAGGGAACCCCAGGTTTTGCATGGTAACAGTGCAGCTGCTGTTTCTCAATTCACTTTGTGGGTTTGGAGGTTTTTATCTCTCACTCTGATTTTCTCTCCCTCCTTTTTCCGAAAGGACAATGTGAATTACGAGAGAAATGATTGCAAAATAAAAAAAATAAGTTTGAGTGTACAAAGTAATTTCTGGGGGTGAGTGAGAGGAAAACCTGTGTCTGTTCTGTGTGTCATAAGTTACAATGGCAACCAAGGGTCCATATAAGTAAATGTGTTGATTTGTAGCTGCAAGTTTTGCTCAGTCCTGTTCTATATTTGCTTTACTCCCTTCTTTTTCTCTTTTCCTCTGTATCCCTTGGCTGATTTTGGTGTGTTCCTGAGAAGGTCAGATGTCCCAGACAGATTCATCTCCTGCAGGTTTTACGAGCACAGGCGCTGGGCGGAAGGGAAATTCAGCCAGTGGAAAAAACGTGGTGTGCTCTCAGTCTTTCCTGGATGAGACATAAAATTTGTTGGGATGGCCAGAAACAATGTGTGCTCTGCCTTGGCAGGGGTTTGCAGCTCATGTGGAGAGGCCCTTATTGTCTTAAGAGAAACTGAAGTAAACCCAGCACATGAACAGCTCTTTCCCAACTCTCTCCCAACAGGATTTTCAGTTCAGGGCTCTGAAGAAGGTCCGGATCTTTGATGCTCCCGATGACCTTCCCAAAGAGCGCTCCAGCCTCCTCGCGGTGTCCAACAAATATGGGCTGGTCTTTGCTGGTGGGGGGACCAGCCTGCAGATCTTCCACACCAGAGATCTTCTCATGCAGAACCAGCTGGGAGAAGACCCCAATAAAATCGGTAAGGCACGCTGACATCCTGTGGCCTTTGCAGGGACAGGTTCATGTGGGATTTATGACACGGCGCTCTTGGCTTCTGATACGTGATTCAGACCTTGCCGTGCTCTGACATGGTTTGAATTGCCACAGGTTCTTGTGTGGGAAGGCAGCAACAATATCTGCTGTACCTCCAGCTGAAATGAGGTTCATAGAATCATAGAGTATCCTGAGCCGGAAAGGATCCATGAGGATCATCAGTCCGACTCCTGGCCCTGCGCAGGACATCCAAACAACCCCACCACATCCCTGAGGCCTTGTCCAAATGCTTCTGGAGCTCTGGCAGCCTTGGGGCTGTGCCCCCTGCCCTGGGGAGCCTGTTCAGTGCCCGACCACCCTCTGGGGGAAGGACTTTAATTGCTGTTGGGAACATGCCACCAGGAGCTCTGTGCTCCTGTTCAGGGTCACCTGTGTTTGGTACCATGCAGTGGGGCTGACTTTTCCTACCTGCAAATAGTACCTCTTTCCCTCAGCGTTTCTGTTTTCCTCAGTTTTTCGTGTCACCTTTGACAGCTGCTGTTAATGGGACTGTGGATTTTTGCATAAAATTCTAATTGTATTTGTTTACAAGAACAGTTCTTGCTGTTTAAATTTGTCCCCCTCACTCTGTCTTCCTTTCCTTTTGTGTTTTTAGTGGAGAACGTCCAGAGTACCTTGGTCCCCATGAAGTTTCCTGTGCAGCACCTGGCTCTGAGCTGTGACAATCTCACCCTCTCTGTGTGTATGATGTCCAGCGAGATCGGTTCCTTCATCAGCTTTTTTGATGTCCGCACGTTCCTGAATCAGGTACAGACTGTGCAAAGTGGGTTTGGGTTTTGTTTTGTTTGAGGTGGTTTTTTTTCAGAATACAGCTCGGGTGGGATTTTCTGTCTCTCTCTGTGAGAGATCTCTTGTGAAGGAATTGCTCAGTAAACTCAAAAATCTGCATCTTTTTATCAGTCAGTAATTTACAGGCAGGTCAAAACTGCTTTGAGCAATGACTTTGGGAGAATTTTGTGCTCAGCTTTGTCTCACGTATTTGTCTTTCCTAAAAGGCAAAGCAGCAGAAACAGGCATTTGCACACCACAAACTGGCCAAGGACTCGGGGAGCACGGCCACGGTCAACGACCTGAAGTGGAACCCCGCCAGTCCCACCATGGTGGCCATCTGTCTGTCCGATGGCAGCATCTCTGTCCTGCAGGTCACAGACTCTGTGAAGGTCTATGCCACCCTCCCGTCCTCCGTGGCTGTGACATCTGGTGAGTGGCATCCTCAGGGGGCACAGGGGAGTGCTGACAGCGAAGAGCAGGCGCACATCGATGGGTGTGAAAACACGGGCTGTTTGTCTCGGGAGGAGGTTTCTTAACATTAAAAAAATTCTTCCCAAAAAGGAAAAACTTGGGACTCAGAGTGTGTTGGCAACAGAATTGCTCTTTCCCAGCTGACTGGAGCAGCTGAGTCTTGTGAGTTATCAAGTGGACTCACCTGTGGTATTTGCTGCCTCAGGCTTGGCTCTCATTTCCAGGAAAATAGGCAAATAAGCATCGTCAGCTGTTGGGTTTTTGAGCTGTGCAGACTTGCTTGCTCTGTGTCTGGAGGACTCCATGTTTAATTCAGATTCATGATTTTTTGCAGGGGGAAAAAAACTAGCAGTTTTTATTTACTGGTCCTGTTTTTGTGGGGGCCTTTTAACTCTTTGATTCCTCAATGCTTCTTTTTTTTTTTAACTTAGTGTGTTGGAGCCCAAAGGGAAAACAACTGGCTGTAGGGAGGCAAAATGGCACCGTGGTGCAATATCTGCCTGTAAGTATTGGTGGTAAGGCCTTATGTCCGCTTAATACTTTGCAATATAATTTTTTTTGTCTCTTTTTCATCACAAGCTACAGCATTTGGTCAGGTGGCACGTGGTGTGAGCCATGTGGTGCTGCCCCAGTGCTTCAGTAATATTCAAGTGTTTTAGGCCAACATTGTGTTTAGTTTAAGGCTTTGCAATGGTCACTAAAATGTCACAATTTTAGAGTGGCCCATGATGAGTGTTAAAAAGTGAGTTGCTCTAAAATAGTTCTCTAGGCTTTCTGCAAAACTTGCAGTTGGCTTCGTTTGTTGTCTTTTCTTTGTATTTAAGAGTTGTTTTATTTGCAGAATCTACAGGAGAAGAAAGTAATCCCTTGTCCTCCTTTTTATGACTCGGACAATCCCGTTAAAGGTACACGTTTTTATTTCTTTTTAACTTGTTTTCTCTTTTAAAGTATTTTACTCATCCCTCCTTCTGTTGTCTTTAGTTGTAGCAGCTGTATACTGCACTGGTTATGTAATTACAGTGTGATTTATTTCAAATATTTGGGAAGAAATTCTGTATCTCTGAGTTGCAGAGAAAAATTATCAGTTGACCAGAGTCCTGCTCTATTTCTAAAATGTTTTCAGTATGCATTCTGAAAGCTATTTTTTTCTCACTGATATGATAGGACAGTACTGTCACAAATATCTCCCTTTAGCATGAACATTTCTGAATATAAATCCAGTTCTCATATTCCACGTGAGTTTCACCTCATCGTTTTGCCTCTTCAATACCATGTCAAAAATAGTAAGTTTAGAAAAACAGAATCATTGGAACTTGGCAGTTAAGGAGTTAGTTGCCACGTGTTTGTCTTTTTTCTTTTGTGTGCTGTGCACAGCTAAAACCAAGATAACCAGGAAGTATCATTCTGAAGTGTTTCTGGCTGAGGTATTTGCTTTCTCTTTCAGTTCTGGATGTACTGTGGATTGGCACATACGTCTTCACCATCGTGTATGCAGCAGCTGATGGGACTCTGGAAACACCCCCAGAAGTGGTCATAGCCATACTGCCTGTGAGTTGCCAGCAAGTCGCAGCAACACAAGTGTTGGTTGCTTGTTCTTGACTTGTTTGTTACAGTGGCAAGTTGCTTTTATTGTTGGCATCGTGTAGAACTCAAGTTTGGTGCTGTGGTAAATCATGGTTTAGGGGCTGGGGGGGATCCAGTGGAGGAAGTAGAATCCACCTGAAAATCAGTGAGTTCAACCTGCTCTCTGCTGAGATCGAATTAGAACGTTATTGGTGTACCCTGGTGCAGGCAGATTTATGGGAGATTACTCAGTTTCTGCGTTGGAAGATAAATTATCAATGTTGATTTTACAGAAAAAGGAAGAGAAGCGACCAGAGAAGTTTGTGAATTTCATGGAGCCCTGCTATGGGAGCTGCACGGAGAGACAGCATCATTACTTCCTCAGCTTTGTTGAGGAGTGGTGAGTGGCAGGAACCATGGCGAGGTCTTTCCCTTGGTGTTTGTGTCTGAGTGGTCATTCCTTTCCCTATACTGTGTTCCTTCTTTTTGTAAACTATATAATACCTGAGTTTGAGAGAAATTAAATTTTTAATTTGAAAATGCTTTGTGAAAATGCAGCTCATTTCTCCTGCATGCTTTGTCTGTGTGCCAACATACTCCTTTGGTGAGAATTCATATGATTTCATGCAGGTACATAAGATTGTTTAAAATCTGTCATAACTATTTCCCTTGAGATTTTAAGTTACTGGGTGGGTAAAGCATGACCTTTTTCTCACTTAATTATGTATCTCTTTTGAAGAAGCTGTTCTAACTTTTCAACTAACTGACTTGGACCATTGTTATTTATGATGATACAGGGTCTGTCAAATCATTGCTTTGAAAGAAAGAAGTTCTGTAGTGATGTACCAGACGCATTTCCCTCATCTTGGCAGGGAAAGTCATTTTTGTATTGTATAACTGTATTCCTAGTTGATTCCTGGTAGCAGATTTATACAGATGATAATGAGTGGTGGAGCTGGGGACCTTGCAGTGGACTGTCATGTTAGTTTTAACCTGCTTGTGTCCATGCCTACAGGGATCTGGTTCTGGCAGCTTCAGCAGCTTCCACAGAAGTCAGCATTCTTGCCAAGCAAGGGGATCAGGTAACATTTTTGTTCCATTTGTGGAATGTGTTCTGTGTTGTATTTGTGCATGTGTACCTCCTCTTTCCCAGAAATCTTTAGTATAAAACCTGGAATGCAGTGAGATGATGATTTTTTTAAAAGCAGCCCAAAACTAAACAAGCTTCTAAATTGTACAGAACCGTAAGACAATTCTTAGATGAACAAGAGATTTGTGACACAGAAAGAAAGCACAAACAGAAACAGTGGGTTGTGAACCAAATACTAGCAATCCGCTTTTCATGATTCATTTAACGGTCTCAGAATTTGGTCCAGCTCACTTTATTGAAGTGATTCATGTGAGGTGACATGCAGTGGTGTGTGAGAAGTCGCACACAGATCTGTGAAGGGCCCTGATACTTCTGGCATTTGTTAATCTGAAAAATTGAAGTAAATGCTCTCTAGCTAGTCCTTCAGGCTGGAGTTTTGAAGAGAGCTGATCACAGGAAAACAGTAGTCAATAATCTCACTTTTTACAGAACTGGGAATCGTGGCTTTTGGAGGACTCCAGCAGAGCAGAACTTCCCGTGACAGATAAAAGTGATGACACTCTGCCTGTTGGTGTTGCTGTTGACTACACCAGTAACATGCCCATCATGATCAGTAAGTCTTGTTAGTCTTTCTGGTGGAGTAGTCCAAAAATCCCAAGGTAGGAGGTATTTTTGAGGGGCAGGCTGGTGCTCAGGGTTCTGGGAGATGGTTCTGAGAGGGAGACTCACACACCTCCTGCCATTTGTACCAAACCAACAACATGTGGCCTTACTTTTGTGTGAGGATTCGAATGGCAAAGTGTTAAACACATTTCTTCCTTGGAGCTTTCAGCAGCCTGGGATACTACAGTAACAGCCTTGGCAAACAAAGCTCCTGAGTTACACCTGTGTTTCACAGAACTGGGATAGCAGTGAGTTTTAAATGAGTCATGTTCTAACACTGGGGATTTCAGGCTGCCTGCAAGGTGCTCTTTATTCTTGTCACTTATGTCCTTTTGCTGAACCGTTTTGTGTGAAGTACATTTGCACTGATCTAAAGCAAAAGTGGGTTGGTTTCAAAGCCAGAAACAGCAAAGATTGTTGAGGTGAATGTGTAGGTTTTAATTCTGCATTAAAGCACAGGGTCTGTACTGCCTAAACCCTGCTGTGCTCTACATCTGGGCAGCTGCACTGTTGCTGTACCTTCTGTGCTGCCTGAAGGCTCTTCTGAGCACCCTGTCAGAGTCTGAAGCTACATCTGAGCTACTCTGTTGTATCTTAGTGAATTCTGAGAACTCTCCCTTGAAACCCAGAGACAGATTGAAATAGAGATGCCTTCAGGCAGAGTGGAAGGTACTGCAGTCAGGAGTTCCTGAAGAGCACAGGAGGGTGCCAGTTAACTGAGAACTTCACCTGAATGAAAACCTACAGTAGGGAATTGAGGTCAAACTTTGTACTTGAATGCCAAATCGAATTTGAAGCCTTTTCTCTGTTAATCTATACAGTTACTGGATTAAGTAAAAATCTGTCAGGACAGATTTTTAAAACCTGTAGGGTTTTTAGAAAGGTTTTTGGAGGAGCTTTTCCCTAACACATTCTGTGTATTCTCATAGAGTGCAGCCAATTGGCTTTGCAGTTCACAGCCAGTGTAGGTTGCAAAGAAACCTCTTTTGCCCTGGGGCTTGTTCCCATGTGGAAACTGCCCTTACCTATTGAAGAATCAATAGGTAAAAAAACATGGCCATCCACTGCACTGCCTGACAAACAAGGCACTGTGATTATAGCAGATTTTTCCTGCATTCTAGATTATATGAGTTCTTTTGTTTAATGAAGGGCAGTTAAAGCATTATAGACTTTTTATTTAGAAATGTAGGGAGTGTTTAACTGTGCTGAGATTTTTTTAACTGAAGCAGACTCACAAAGCAGCTGCAAGTAACACAAGTATTTTATATCAGAGGTTCAGATCACGAGGATATTTGTTTGATGTTGACTTTCTTTAAAGTAAAAAAGCTTCCTATGTAGCAATTCTCTTTGGTACTTTATGAATATGAATGTTAATGAGGTGAGAGGACCCAGTGGAATATGGGGACAGCTGAAAGGGACAGAGGATTGGAGGAGGGAGCAGCATACAGGTGAGGAAAAATGACTGCTTCGAAGTATGAAAAAGCTTGGCACAGGAATTCACAGGTGGAAGTTGGGCTTTGTCATTCAGGAGGTGACATTTGAGTGCCAAAATAACTCTTCATCTATGAATTTATTAAAAATGAAATCAAGAACAGAAAGGACTACAAAAGGAAAAAAATAAAAAAATGGGCATTTCATAGAGAAGCAAGGGAACAAAAATGCAAATATAAGCGAGAAGGGAGAAATATAGGAAATACTGTGCTCAGCAAGTCATATGAAGGTGGCAATGCCAGTAGGAGCAGGACAAGGAACTTTGACTGCAGGACTGACATATGTGGTCTCTGGCAGGTGATGACAAGATCCTTGCCCCAGCTCCAGTTCTGATCTTGCTCTCCACGGACGGCGTGCTCTGTCCGTTCTACATGATCAACCAGAACCCGGGCGTCAGGTCACTTATTGTGACCCCAGAACCGCTGCAGCTGGCAGGGGAGAGAGTTCCAAAGTCAGCAGGTAAGTGCTTCAGTGGGGTAGGGGAATACTTGCATTTCTGGATCTGTGTCATCTTGGTCTGTCAGTTTGGTGGTCAGACATGTATGTGGTCACTGAAAACATTATTTTTTTTTTTCTGTGTAATGATGGGTGTTTTGTGCTCTGTGTCTTCTGTGCATCAGTGTGAAATCATCTAGTCCTGTCCTTTGTAGGATCTCAAGCACTTTGCAGGCTGTGCTCTTAGACTCAACCTTTGGAGAACAGGGCCAAAGCAGTTTTAGGGTGTCCCTTTGTCCATCTTTGGGGTGCAGGATTCTAACTGCAGCAGGGACTGCAGGCTCTGCCTGGGGACAAGGATCAAGCACTCTGCAGACCCAGAGCGTGGTCTGCACCCTTCAGAGAGCTGATGGTTTCCCTCATGCTTTTGCCACAGGAGGTCATGATGCAAACCAAGGTGTTTGGCTGCAGCAAATCTTACTTAAACGATAGCTTTCTGCAACACTGTGAAAATTGTGTCAGCAGGTGAAGAATAGTAGTTTTGTTTGAATTATAGATGTGTTGCCCTGTGTAGTGTGACATAGGCAGTTTCCTGTGCGGGGGTAGGCAGATAAGCTGATTGTTTTGCTTGTCTGAGTGCAGGAGTAATAACTGCAAATGCATCATTTTTGTCTCTAAGCCCAAATTTGCTTCTCCTTCCCCAACCACAGTGCTGCTGTTTGGCAGCCTGCCCCTCTGCAGAGCTGGCTGGCTTGTGTGCTGATTGCCTGTTTTACTTGAGATGGCAGGAACTTCATCAAAATCAATGGAGAAAGGTGAAGCCTTTCCACAGGAAACTGCAGACCACATTAATCTAGACAGATTGTGGTATTGATCGTGCCTTGGACTGGGTGCGCTTTCTGTATCACTTGCTGAGTTTGGGGACTGCAGGCCCAGCTCTGCCATCTCTCTTCCTCACTGTGCTGTCTGTCCAGTGAGTGAGGCAGTGCCGAGCTGTGCCATCAAACAGCATTTGGCCTTGCAACACCTTCTGCCGTTGGTCAGTGCGGCCAAACGAGCCTCCTCCTTTCCCATTTGTCTTCTTGCAGGAAGCACTGCCACAGCTCCAACCACTCCTCCAACTTCTCTAAAGCCTGACTCAGTAACGGGTGTTGCTCCTGCTGCTCCTGCCTCAAGTCAGCCTCCCATGGCGGGAGGAGCAGCTGCTTTTTCCTTCATGCCTTCGGCTGTGAAGACACCTGGCTCCTCAGGCGGTGATCCTCCACCCTACCCCTTTGCCACGGATGCCTCCAAGCAAGCCCAGACTCCCGCTCTGACTGCAGCAGCAACATTCTCCTCTGCTGCTTCTAAGGCATCCGTGACTCCTCCTGTGGGCACCACTGCAGCTGCTGCCACCTCCTTTCCCTTTGGGTCCATGAACTTTAAACCAGCTGCGGAAAGTTCACCTGGGCCACCGCTCTCCACAGCTCCTGCTGCACAGAAGTCATCTTTTGCACCTTCAGCTTCTTCAGTCAAAGTGAACCTCAATGAGAAGTAAATAGATCAGTAGTGAATGCAGGGGCTGGCTCCTTCTTAAATTGCTCCAGGCGTGGATAACCTATGGTAGTTCTGAAGATGCTGTCTGGCTTTTTGCCCTGGGAGCTGTTCCCCGTGCTCCCAAGAAAGCACTGAGGAAGCCCCTCTTTAAGGTGTAGCTATCTTGGCTGTGAAAACCCTCAGTGCTTCCCGTGCCAGAGGTTATGTTCATGGGCAGGATGTAAGTCAAGGGTCAATGCCAAAAATTAGACTGATAATTTGCCAAGTTGCCAGAGACCTAGGAGGCTTTTTTATACATCTTCTTCATAGGCATCAAATGATAATTCTATACCTTGGTTTGATGCAAATCATGGTTAAAAACTCTGGGATTTGAAATCCCTTCTGTCTGGGACTGATTTATTGGGATGGTGATAGCACAAGTTTCATTGAGTGTTTGTTGAAGGTTCCTTGCCCCCAACCTAAAGAGCAATTTGGAGAGCTGAGGGGAAGCTGTATCCACAGCTGATGGATGGCTCTGCCACTCTTGTGTTCAACAGAGAAGGTGCCAGACCTTTTGATTTTCTTCCTAAATGGGTGCTTGGTCACCGAATACAGGATCTGGAATCTTTAAAGCTTGTTCACACCAACTAAAAAAAATAATATTGATTAGAAACTATGCAAAAGGGGTTTGAGAGAGTGTTCTCAGATTTCATATACCCACTCTTCCCTCCAACTCCTGAGACTTGCTCTCTGTGTTTAGAAAAAATGGTTTAAAACACAGAGCTGTGTTAATTGAAGCTACTTTTTATAGAAAGCAACTTTCATGTAAATGTATCACGAGAAATTTCCAATGGTTCATATGATTTTTTTTTTTTAATTAGGAAAATCTTTACTACACCAGGATCTGATGGGAGCTCTTAAGGCTTTTTATATTTTGTGTATAAAGCAAATGATACACCAGTGAATTGGCTGAATATTTAAATTGGCTGCCTTGAGGAGACGAGTTGCAGATGAATAGAAATTCATATTTTCTTGAAGAATTTCTGCTTGAGCCTTGCTGTGAGGATGACACTGAAAGGCAGCTCAGATTTGCTGCAGTTGGTGCAAAATGATGAGGTGCATTTTGAAGCAGTGTAGTGCTTTTTGCTGGCATTTGGCTTTTGCTCACTGGGTGGGTCTATGGTAGAAGTCTTTGTGGTTCCATGTATTCAGAAATTACCCTGAGTGGCTCCTTCCCACCATCCCCAGAAGCTACACTCTTGATTTTTATAGCTGGAGCTTGAGTTGTAGCTGATTCCAGTGGATGCTAATTCATGGCAATCAAATGCTTCATTTGGGATGGAGGGAGGCAGCTGGGATCAGTTCAGAGCTGAGAGACATTCTGCTTTTTGTTGCAGGTTCACTGCTGTAGACACCTCTTCTCCCACGAGCAGCAGTGGCCAATGCGCTTCCACAATGTTTTCCTTCTCAACCACTTCCAAACCTGTTTCTGGAGGTTCTCTGAGCCAGTCCATGCCTGTCCCAGCCTCTCCTGCCACACCACTGAAGACTTCATCCCCTGTGCCTGCCACGGGTAGGAGGCTGACCCTGTTGTTGGGAATAGTGCATTATAAACGATGTCGTAAAAGTTTTAGGACACAGAGAGCTTTAGTGGGCTCTTTTCTTTCTTGTTTTTTCCTGCTTTAGTGGCCCTCCTGATTGGCACACCGTAATGATGTGATGCACTTAGTCTTGAAACAGCAGTTTTTCCATTTGTGCTCTTCATTCCTCAGAGAGACATATGTGAAACAATTATATTCAGCTGCTTATGTTCATCTAGAAGTCCTGGCATTTTCAGGGCTCTGTAATGCAGCTCTGATTATGAATGCTTCTGGCAGTCACACAAATTAATGCCTTTCTTTTCATCTGGACTGACTGGAGTTCAAAAGGACCACAAATGAGTTCAAATCAGATGGCACTCCCTTGTTAGCAGAATGATATTCCATCTCTAAAATGGTTGTGTGACTGAGGGTCTCGAGGCCCTCAGGAGAGGTGCAGCCAGCTACTGTAGAGTGGCAGTTTTGACTGTTAGCAGGTTTTGCTGGTTTTACTGTTAGCAGATTTTACTGGATGGGAGTGAAAAGGCACCCGAGGAAGGTGTGTTCTTGGACTAGGGCCACTGGCACTGCTGCTGTTGGATTTGACAGCAGTGATTGTGTGTCTGGTCACAACCTGTTTTCTCAAGCTTTGTATAAGTTCATAAATTACCGTTCCTCTCCTTAAATTCCAGCGGCACGTCCTGCTCAAAATGTTCCTTCAGCGTCCTTAGTACAGAAGACACCCAAAATCACCCCATCTGCAGCAAAGCCAGGCTCTGCTCAGGTAACAGGAACTGGACTGGGTTCTACAGAGGGTGAATGTTTTGTATGGCCTATGAATTGCTTAGAATTCCTTGGACAGAAATAGTTTTCTTAGGTCCAACAATTAGCTAGCTTTTGACATTTAAATAACAGCACATCTGTGGTTGTAAAACACTGTTCTCTGCATGTCTTTAGAGAGCTGTGTTTTGATCTGTGTTGTTATAATCAGATTATCTGGTGTCTGGAGTTTCTAACATGAGGCCTTTTTTTGATATTCTAAGCTCCCTGTTGCATTGGATATATCCTTTAATATTGGCTTTGTTTTGTTGTGTTTTTTTTTCCAGGGCAAATCAGCAGCCCCCAATGCAGCTTTAGAGAAGCAGACCCACCAGTGGAAGGATTCAGACCCTGTCATAGCAGGAATCAGAGAGGAGGTGAGATTTTGAAGCAGTTTTCTACATTTTAGAAACTTTTAAGACCACAGACACTTCAGTTCAATCATGTCCTGATGGTGCCTTTAAGTAGCTTAGGAATCAGAGTGGAAATTTTTCCCAAGATAATCAGCCTGGTTTTTAGCTGCTGTCTGTGTGTCCTCTTCACTCACTGTGCTAAAAAGATGGACCATTCTTTCCTGTTCAGTGTTCAAGAGAAATTTCCCACTTTGCCTGTGAAGTGACTGGTGTTCATGGTGCAGCTGAAACATGATCCAGGAGCTGTGACATTTGTTCCAGACCCAGCTGTGTTTCACTGGCTGCACTTTCTTCCTGTTGACTTTGCAGATTGCACATTTTCAAAAGGAGATGGAGGAGCTGAAGGCCCGGACTTCCAAAGCCTGTTTCCAAGTTGGAACTCCAGAGGAAATGAAGATGTTGCGAACCGAGTCAGATGATCTTCACACCTTCCTCTTGGAAATCAAAGAGACAACAGAGGTGAGCAGGGTATCTTCGAACTGTAAACCATTTAGCTCCTCAGCAGTGACTGTTCCTCACCTGATGTTCCTGCTTGACCTGCCAAAGCTGAACTGATGCAGAGGGAACATCTAACTCTGCCGTGTTAATGTGGGGGTGACGTTTGCGTTTGTGCTTTCAGGCAGGTGCCTGCAAAAGCCCTTGTGCTGGAGATGGCAGTGAGAAATGGTACCTTGAACCTTGTCCCGCCTGTTCTATTTCTATTTGCAGTCACTTCATGGAGATATTAGTATTCTGAAGACAACCCTGCTGGAGGGGTTTGCAGGGGTAGAAGAGGCTAAAGAACAGAATGAACAGAACCGTAATTCGGGGTATTTACACTTGCTCTACAAGAAACCTTTGGATCCCAAGAGTGAAGCGCAGCTTCAGGTATAAAAATAGAGAATTTTAAGTAAAATATAACTGAGATCTGCACATGCAAGTGCCCAGCATTGTTGTTCTGCCCTAGGTATTTGCTGTTTCAACACAGTGTAGCAAAAGTGCAATGAGCTTTGTTTTCCCCGAGTTTGAAGACACTCTGAAAATCCCCTCCTAAAGCTCCCCTGTTGTTGCCGTTTGCAGTGATGATTCAAAACTCCTCCTGAAGGGAAGCAGTTCACCTGAGATCCAAGTCTGTTCTAAGCTCAGAATGTGACTCTTGACATCCTGTTCCTTCTCAGCCTGTAATATTTGCTCAGGGATTTCAGATAAAAGAGTGTTGGGCTTTTTTTCTACACTTTATAGAAGAGTTCTTGGAATTATTTTTATCTTCAGCAAGTGCCTTATGGAACAATTTGATGATTTATTATGACTTACAGAATTGTGTGGTTAATTTCATGGATGGTGGAGCATAAAGCTTAATGATATTCTAAAAGCTGGGGCACAAAGGAAAATAACCAGCAGTACATAAAGAGCCTTTCAAAGACATGAAAGAAAATAGGGGTGAAGCACTCTTTGTTACAGCTCTGGTGATGAGGGCTATTTAACCCTAAGCAAAATAGAGTGAATGTGCCCTACAAACGATACTCGGTCTTTTATACACTGATAAGTTCCTCTCAAAAAGTTTGACTGGCAGGCTGGAGGCATAATTGAATGTCATCTTTGTGGCAGTAGTTATCAGGAGTAGGCATGCAGTTATTAGAAATGAGCTTGACACAAAGTCAGTTCTTTCAGGTCTGATCTTCACCTGGGTTCTGTAGATTCACAGTCTCAATTGCACCCTTGCTTTGATGTCCAGTGTGTCTCTGCAACAGTTCAAGCTTTTGCTTGTGACTTCAGAGATAATCTTGAAATGCACGTTTCCCTTTTGTAGAGAGAGGATCATGAGGAAAGGCTAACACACTGAGGGAGAAGGGGAAGTGGACTGGAAAGTAAGGAGAGAACTTTCAGGTCAACTTTCTGAAAGTCTGTGAGAAAGCTCTGCTCTGACTCTTAAGTTTTGCTCAGTCTGCATGATCCCCATTCTCCTGGGTGAGAAAAGCTCCCTTAGTCAGCTTTGTGTCTTAGTTTTCAATGAAGTTTTAAAAACCCTGAAAATTTTCTGATGTCCAGCCATATTGATTTGGTATCCAGGGAGCTGCTGCTCTGTAGTTGCTGGAGAGAGAAAACTTGGCCTTGGCAGTGTGTAACACTAAGCCCACAGCAGAACTAGGTTTGGTTTCAGGTTGGGGATGTCACACTAGAATTTCATGCTGTATCTTGAAAACACTTGCAGTGGAATTTTTCCCGAGCCGTGTTTCTTGGCTGCTTCATCGTTGTGTTTGAAGTGAGCGTTCTGTTGGGATGACCTGAAACCAACTGCAGTTGCCATTTCCGATTTACAAAGTCAGAGTTCAAGCCATGGCCATGCCATGCCAGGCTGGAGGGATGACAGTAATGAGACTGAGTGCTGGGTTTGTTTAAGGAGCAGGGCTTGAGGCCAGAGGTCTCTGGCTTAGCCATGGCAGTTGTGCAACTGTGTGCACATGGATAAGTCACTTCACTCTCCATGCTTGCTTTTTATTTATTTCTTTTTTTTTTTTTCTTTCCTACCTATAAAAATCAAATTAATTCCTTGCCTTAATGTGGGAGTTGTGAGCATTTGTAAATGCTTTCATGAATCATAGTCTGTGAACGCTGGTCTCCCAGAGCCTTGTGAGTTGCCTGCAAGGCTTTGATCACTTATAATTGTTTGAAGTTTCAGCATTATAAAACGGGAGCAAATGACTCATGTTCTGGAAGTGACATTTGTTAAAAAAAAAGGATTGTTTTGTACAATGCCTGGTGTTTGTAAAACCCTTTCTTTAAAGATCTGGCAATGTTTTGCAAATATTATGGAAAGTATTATTTCTAGAGAGAGAAATGAGAGCTGGGGTAAAATGCCCAAGCCAAACCCTGTGTGTGCCCCATTGACTGATAAGTAAATTTTCTCTGTGTTTGGTTTAGTTGTGCTGGTAAAACTTTCCAGGCAGAAATATGGGGAAGTGCTGCATGACTTGGACTGAATGAGCCCAAAGAGTCTTCAGCTTCTGAAACTGAGGTTTCTGAATTGAATTAAGAACTGACTTTATCTTGCATGGTAGGAAATTCGGCGCTTGCACCAGTACGTGAAGTTTGCTGTTCAGGATGTGAATGACGTTCTGGATTTGGAGTGGGATCGGCATCTGGAACAGAAGAGAAAGCAGAAGTAAGTAACTGAAGCTGGAGTGCAGAAATACTACAAAGAACACATCAGTGAATTGGAAATTAGTCTCTAATCAACAGGCAGAAGCCTTTTAACAGTCTGATCTTTTTCAAAGGGTCTGGGTAAATAAAGCTTGGCTAAGACACCTGCTGGGAGCTTACAGGTTTAGACTCTCTGGATTCATACACGTCACAAGCTTGCTGTGTCTCTCTACAGTGAAAATAGTGCTTGTAGAAAAAAACTATTAAGGTTTGTAGAAATCCATTGATGGTAGTTAATGAAACCTTACTAACAGATAAAACATCATGAAGTAAATGAGCTAAATGAATAAACTGGCAGCCTATCTAAAGGAGAAATATGCATTGGAGATGAACTGAACTTCTGTGTTGTTCAAACCAAACCACATTTGACCTCATTGAGTTTAAGTAGCCAGAACCACTGAATCTCACTGAGTTTTGAGTAGCCAGAACCACTAAACCACTTGGTGTTTGCTTGCCTGCCTGTGGCCACATACACACAATGGTCCTTATCTCTTGATCCTATCCCTGCAGGCGTCTGGTCGTTCCTGAGAGAGAGACTTTGTTTAACACCCTGGCTAATAACCGGGAGATAATCAACCAGCAGAGGAAGAGGCTGAATCACCTGGTGAACAGCCTGCAGCAGCTCCGCCTGTATAATCAGACGTCCCAGTGGAGCGTTCCCAGCGATACCTCCCTTAGCAGCGCTCAGAGGTTTGTGAAAACGTGAATTCCTCAGTGGTGCTGACACTCCTTCTCTCTTGCCCCCTAGCAGTGTGCAAAGATGCATCCTCGAAAGAGTGATGTGGGCATGGTATGGGAGGGCAGGAAAAATTGCACTGAACTGTGCCCAGGTGATACAGAAGCTCATTGGTTGTGTTCTGTGACGCGCTGTTCAATGTCAGAAATTTCCCCTAAAAGTTAAGGGGTTTTATAGTAAATGGGATAATAGATTCTGCAGGCTGAAATACTGCTGGTTGTCTGTCTGACTTGAGGGGAAGAAGTGAATGGCTCTTGAAGTTTCCAAAATAGTTGTTTAATCACACAGTGTCCAGAGGAGTGGGTTGTTCTTCCAGATACGCCAGTGGTTCTAGTGGCTCTTTTGGTCTACTTCTGTTCCTGCTTTGGTTGGCTTCTTTCTGCTGATGATGTTTTCTCACTGCTCTGTTTTGTCCCAGTTTTGACAGTGACCTTGAAAGCCTCCGCAATGCTTTGATGAAAACTACCTTGAAATCACACACCAAACCTCTGCCCAAAGCACCTGGTAATTTATCCTTTCTTCCTGGCATTCACACCATAAATGTGAAATACTTTTTTTTTTTTTTTAACTTGCAGTTCGATTGCAGACTAATAACTATCTTCCATTTTCCAGCTAAGCTGTCCCTATTGAAGCAGGCACAGTTGAGGAATTTCCTAGCCAAGAGGAAGACTCCACCAGTTAGATCTACAGCTCCAGGTAAACCTTTAGTTACTGTAAGAGTCTGAAGTGGTTTCTGAGAGGCTGACTACCTGTTGTGGGACTCAGTCCTGAAGTTACCTTTTGGCTTCTCAACCCCTACTTCTCCTTTGCTGTTCTCCCATCTGCTCTCAGTAAGAATTTCCTTCAGTTGCTTCCTGGTTGAAGGCTGCCTTTCCTGGCAGTTAAGAAGTCAAATCCTATCAATACAGGATTAAAACAAGCCAATAGAAGAGCACCCTAAAATAGACTGCTGTTGGGCTGGATGGTTTCCTCAACTTAATGCACACATGATTTTGTTTCTGATATTGCAGCAAGTTTGTCCCGATCTGCCTTCCTGTCCACAAGATATTATGAAGATCTGGATGAAGTCAGCTCAACATCTTCAGTTTCCCAGTCGCTGGAGAATGATGATTCCCAAGCAGTGGACCAGGAAGAAGAGGCTGCTCCAGTCCCAGTCCCTCGTCATGCTCCCGTGGTCCGAACTCCCTCTATCCAGCCTGGTTTGATGGCTCAGTCTTCGTCCTTTGGGAAGCAGCACCTCCCACTGGGTACTTTGCATGAGTTGTGTTTGCAGTGCCTCTTTCTTGTGGGTATCTTTAACCACTGTATCCACTGCCAGTGCTTCAGGCCCTGGAGAAGTGAGATTGCAGGATTGCAGATTTATGCTGCCACGTTCCCAGGAGCAGTAGCACAGTGGCATTGTTAACTCGTGAACTTGAGCTAAAAGTACTAAAAGACCTCGACTCAGTGACTGTGTTTTCATGATAACCTGGTTCTTTCAGACTGTAGTGACCTAAAATACTGTCCCAAAGACTAGGAAACTGAAGCACTGCTGCATTTGATTGATGGGGCCAAGGTTAGGAGTTCTGAGCCCAGCAAGTCTCACTAAGAACTGTATTTGCATACGCTCAGTTTTCCTTGTGTGAGGGAGGTTTTTTAATCTCCGAAGCCAGAGAGAAAAATAAAGTGTCAGCAAAAGTGTCTGTAACAGCAAACCTAAAGTCCTCTAATGCACTGAAATGACATGTATTGAGACTTACTTGCTAAATTCCTTGGGATACACCAAAACTGCCAGGGACAGATTGTGTTGATTGTTTTGAAAGGTCTGCACAGCAGTCCTGTCAGAAGGAAACTGTTCACTTAGAGGAACTGCAGTTCAGCCAAGGCTTTCAAAGACTTCCCTGGTTTGCAGAGATACAGTGGAGTGTAATGTTTTTGTTCATTTTGTTTTTTTAGTGCCCACGTCTTCAAACAGGATCATACCACAAGGGGCAGACAGCACAATGCTCGCAACAAAGACGGTGAAACACGGGGCCCCTGCTCCCACTGTCACTGTTCCAGCACCACAAGCAGCAGCTGCTGCAGCTCTGCAGAGGCAGATGGCTGCTAACCAGTCCCCAGGTAAAAGGATGGCTAATTGCCCAAGTGACCTCTGAGCAGCTGAATGGGGCTTTCACAGGAATTTATTTCTCTCAGAGGAGAAGATCATCAGGCAAAATGTGACGCGGATCTGTAGTTGTTGCATCTCGGAGCTATCCAGTGGTTCTTTGTCTTCCTTCTTCCTGGAAGCTGCTCGTACAAAATGCCTGAGGAACTCCCACCTCAGATTTCTTCTGCCTTTCTCATCTTTGCAGTGGCAGAAACGTGGATGAGGTCCTGGCACAACCTTTGATCTGTGTGCAGGAAACTCTTGGAGAGCAGAGAAAGGATGTCACTGACCTGTATTAATAACTATTCATTATTAGCTGTGCAATTAAAGACCTGAATTGTAAAACAAATTAATATCGAAACTTAAAATTTCAAGGTGAACTGTTGAGTTAAGCCTTGGATTTGATTGTAAGGTTTTGAGTTGACAGGAGAAAAGTTCCCCAATCTAAGCTTTTCCTGTTTGGCTTTAGACATTTCTTGGTGCTTCTCCAGCACTGCAGGGCCAGTGCAGAAAGGAAACACAACTCAGTTACTGGTAGAGGAGTTGGATTAGTTGATTCTCCTCGCCTGAGGAGCGCCTAAGTGCAGAAAGTTAAGTAGTGACATGAATTCTGGCAGAGGCTGGGGAGTAACTACACAGGTCACTGCTGTTAAATGAAGATGTTACAATGTGTGTAAGGGAAAGTTCTCAAGAATAATTGGTCAACAAGCAACAAAAATTGTACCAACTGTATAGAACATTGTCCACTTCTCTGGTGCCTTCATCGAGGGCTGCGGTACCAGATGTCTTGGGCCAGATATGCCACATATGTTCTAGAAACTTAAATGGATTTTTTTTAGAGTCACTCAGGCACCATCTTGAATGAAATGCTTAATATGGAGATTGTCTTTACATCTTTTTTCTTTTCTTCTCTCTGTTTTTGTTGCTTAAAGCTGTAAGCACCTCCTTGACCGAATCAACTCTGAAAAACGTTCCTCAGGTGGTGAATGTGCGAGAACTGAAGTCTGGTGGGTTGACTCCAGCTGTCTCTGCAGTAATAGGGTGAGTGAGTTCTCCCCTTCTTTCCTGGGGCCTTCAGTAACACTTGCACTAAAGCACATCTGCCAGTGGGGAGCAGTAGCAGTGTTTTACTTAGTCTGGCTGTGGAAAACCTAAAGGGGATTTAGAGAAGAGTTGTTTGGTTTGTGGAATGAAAGAAAGAAAGAAAGATCTTTTTTCCGGGTCATTCAAGGATTTGCTAATGGTTTGTCCTGAACAAATGATGAGTCCAGTATTAACCTGCTTCTCCATTAGTCTGTGAAATGCATTTTAGTGCATTCTCTCCTTCTGAGGTCCAGTTGTTTTACTGTTAATGTGTACTTTGGACCTGGTATCTCTCCAGTCACTACCTCTCTTCTGCCTCTTTGAGTGAGGGAGGTGCAGCCCTGTGTCGCTGAGTGTGGTCTGACTTTAGGCTGTCCAGATGTTTTCCTTCTACTTTGTCATCCATTACAGAGGAAAGCTCTAGAGTCATGCCTCTTCTGTCTGTTCCCAGATTCACCCCCTGAGGGAGGCAGAACTGTGCTCTGGCTTTTCTGGAAACTCGTCTCAAATTTTTTGACATCAGAACTTTTGACTGAAGGGTTGTGTGTCCCTCGGGGCTGATCACTTTGGGGACCTACAGAGCTGCAAGGCTGTCTTCCTGATGAGTGAATTATGAATGATGACTTCTGTTATTTAACCTTGAAGTTGTTAGGATTTCTTGTGAGTTAGCTGTAACACTTGGCCTCCCTGCTCTGCCTCGTACAGACAGCAGCCAGCTCAGCTCATTCCAGAGATTTCTGTCTTATCACCAGGCTCTGTCACCAGCCACAGAACTAGTCCTTTTCCCTGTCATTGTAGTGACCTTGAAACTGTCTTTGCTTGAAGTTGCTGCTGCTGCTGCCTAAGACCAGGATAGTGCATGGCCACCATATTCTGGGCTGGGAAGGCAAGGGCACTGCTGAAAAGTATGAGCAAAGTTGGGCTTACTGCATAAAGTGGGATAAATTCACCACGTATCTCTGATTATAAGTTCATATGGAATTGCTAATGCTGTATCCATACAACTGTGAGCTGTATGTGCAGCTCCTGGGACAGTTGCTGTTGTTGCATCACTTCTGGTTTTTTTTGTGGATACTCTTCACTGTCAAAGAAAAAAGGTGAAGTTCCTTTGATGCAGCTTTTCAAACAAAGAACAGTCTTACAGTGGTGGTGCTCAGCTGCTGACCTTGACATTTGCTTCATGGTGTCTTCTGCATTTTAATTGTGAAGCAGTCTGGGAGCATTTTAGCAGTACTGTGACCAGGAAGACTTTTCCACTCTCTTTTTCATCAGAACTGCGATGAAAAAAGTAGAAAGTACTGGCTGTGCATAGAGAAGGACGTGAGCAAGCAATACATAGATTGGTTTTCACTTGAGCTGTCGTTGAAGACCTGACTTACTTTCAAGTAGTTTTAGACTGGCAGTATTGATTGATCTCTCTAATTTATAGATCTCCAGCTACCTTGATATCTTGAAGGCTTTCTACAGTCCTGTTTTATAGCTGACCTCATAAAAATGTACTTTCTAAAAATTCTACCCAAATGAACCGTACTTGCCAGTCAGGTTCAGCACTAAAATGAAGAGCATTCACCCAGCAAAGTTAATTCATCAGTTTTTGCTACTTCAGACATCCTGGCTCCCTTTTGCTGCCACAGCACACTCTTCGGGTTGTTAAGCAGGAATGATTTTTTCAGTTGTTATCAGTTGTTCAGTGGCCTGTGACTGGGTCTGTTGGTGGTCCCAGTCCTGTTACTGATAGATGGTTTCCATTGGAAAAAAAAAATCCAGTTTCCACAACTGAAGTCAAACCCAGCACTTTCATAGCCTTGTCAGAGAACCTGTGGGTCGAATGATCTTGGGTTGTGATGGAGAGAACCTGCTAGGGTAAGAAAGCTGACCTTTGCCACCAAAAAAATGCAACCAGTGTTGAATTTAAGCTTCTGAAATCTTCTGGCCATTCAAGCTTCTGAACCTGGTGGGCCACAGACCTTGAGGAGGTGCTGAAACTGGATGGCTGTTCCCAAGTTACAGAGATTTGGTGTGTTTATGACCCACAGTGCAGAGGTTGGATACTTCACCCCATAAGAAGCTGCCTTTCTGCAGCAGTTGTCTGGGGGTTCTCATGCACAATTTATTTCATGGTGAAATTCCCAAACCTGTAGTGCAGAATGCAGGTTAATTTTATCACGGTTCTTGCCATGACTTCGTTAATGTTTGTGCTACACATCAAAGACAGGAAATGCTCTTTCCACCCCCTCCCAACTCTGTCTCCTTGCTCAGCACTTCTGAGCATTGCATTTATTTGTCTGGGTTGCACACTGTAAAGGAAGCTGCTTAGATTTGTTATCCACAAGGCATAAAATTGTAATCTCCTTACCTGCTGATTTTTCATCAACTCCCTGTAAAATAGAAAGACCTGACTCCCTTCAGAGACAGGAGTGTGTGAAGAGGACTCGATCATTTAAGTCTAGAGGTTTAAACACACTTGCAGACTTCCTTTGTTAAATGTGGCTGATTCATTTAAGAGGTTTATTCTCTAATCAGATTTGTTCGTTTGGAGTTGTGCGTGGAATCTTTAATAGGGGTGGTTGTTCGAGGCTTCTGGAAGCTGTGCTTTCTGAGAGGAGAGGAAATCCTCTTTCAGACTACTTATTCATATAATTGTTTAATTTTTCTTTTTAAGGTCATCTGTACCTCACTCTGCAGCCCAGGCAGTTCATCAAGTTTTGGCTACAGTTGCTACAAATCAAGCTAAACAGGTACCTGATGTAGAACCCTTTCCCTGGGGAATACACTACCTGTGCATGCTCAGCACAGCTTGGGGGTTTAATTCTTGTTGATGAACAAATCACCTAAAAACCCCTTTTCGCAGCTTGCCCTGCGTTCTTGACAAACCATTTATCCATCTGTGACCTCACCAGTGTGATGCCAGAGACGTATCTTTGTTATGTCTTGCCTTTTCTCGCTTTTGAAGGCTTGCAGCTTTCTAATGGGCACAACCTTGCTGCAGTAGGGCTTGCAGCAAAAAAAAAACAGCAGAGGAAACTGTGTTAGGTAGATACAACAACAATAAAAAAAAGGGATAGGCAATCAAGGGACAGAGTAGTTTACTTATCCTACTGAAAACATTTTTTACTGGTGGCCAGGCTGCTGGGTTTTAAATGTACACAACAAAAAAAGCAACAAAGCAGTTTTGGTCCCCTGGAATCATTGAGCTGCTGGCCGTGGGGGCTGACTGACCTGTTGGAAAAGTTTAGTACTGACCCTGTATTTAAGTGTCAAGAACATAATGGGCCCAAGATTGAAGGGCCCTTCTAAGTGCTTTGACCACCTTCCTCTATTTAATTCTTAAGTCATTGCATGACACCCACAATAGCAAGCCAGTGTTGAAGGACGTTTGTTAGGGGGCAGCCTGCACTGACCTGAAGTGGTGTTGTGTTTTTAGACACCTCTAACAAGCTCCATTAAGGGACAGACTCCACCTTCCTCTGTGTGTGCACCCTGCACTGTGGCATCCACAGCTAGTCCAACATCATCTGTCAACAAGATCTCAGGTAAGTTGTCGTGAGTGGGAGTTGGAAATAAAGCCTGGATGTCTCTTGCCACCTGTCAGGGTGAATGAAGGCAGGAAAAAAGATTTGCCTCCCCTGAGAGGTTGCAGTGCCAGTCCTGAGGGAGAGAATTTGAGAAACCAGGTTACACAGAAGCACAGGAGAGTAGTTTTCTATCCTTGCCCTCTGTTTTGTCTCCGTTCCTGCACCTGGAATTCAGTGATACAATTCCTTGTTCAGAGTGGGCTCAGGACATGTAATCCATCTTCCAAAGGCTGCTGCGCTTTGACAGCAAATCAGAAGCAGCTGTTTTGTTTTTAAAACATGAAAATCATACTGGTTTTAAACATTTAAAACATGCTGGTTTGATTTTTAAACACACAGCGTTATAGGAGTACCTGAACAAGCTTGACATGAACTAACTTGGTGCTGGGTGTGTTGAGCACTGAGCTCTGAGACCAACTTTAGAGCCAGTTCAGATCCTGTGATCAGCTGCACAGGGTTTGGAAGTTTCTTAGGAAAGGAATGCTCAGTTTAAATCATTCATGCAAACGGGGGAAGAGGAGACAGGGAAGGAAGGAATTGATTTTTAATGTGTATTAGATAATAATGCTTGCATTGGACATGGGTTTATAAGCCTCTTGCATAAATGTCTGAAATCCATCTCTGCTGGTCTTTTGCCTTTAATCCGTGGATGTAGGTTGCCTCTTAGCCAGGGGTAAAAAGTAGTAAAAATAGCTAGGAATCATATTTGACTTGGCAAATGCTTCTTAAATTTTGGTTTATTGAACATGTCAGCTCCTGAATTGGACAGCATTTCCTTTTTATTTGAAGTTTATCAAATTGCAGGCTGCGTGTGCAAGGTATTAATTTCTTTTCTGATAGTTGGGCAACAGGGTGCTTTTGTTTGTTTGTTTGTTTGTAAGTGTATTTTATCAATATATTTATTTGTTGTTCTTGTAACTTACAGGACAAGGGACAGTAAAGACAGTTACAGCTGTTTCTTCTACTGTGACATCAGTACAAGCAACAACTTCCCAGCTTAACAAAGCGTTCTCGTTCTCCCCTGCGGGGTCTGTATCAACCTTAAGATTTCTTTGTGGTTGACATTAAATACGAGTATGGGCTGTTACAGCAGGTGTTGCCTGCAAGCTGTGTGATGCCATAAAATGGCACCTGCAAATGTTAGGCTGGGAGGGCAGGAGTTGTACCAGAGTTCTTGCAAGATCTTGTTTGTGGAAGCCTGAGGTGTGAAGGTCCTGGGACTTGGGCACGTGATTGCACTGCTTTGAGATTTTTCAGTGTGTAACTAATCAAGAGTAAAGGAGGACTGGCTTGCTTTGGGGGTTTATCTATAGTGGAGTATTGAGCAAGTTCCCCAGCTAGGACTTGAAATCTGTCCTGATGGTCAGGCTTGCTGAATGAATTATTTATTTTAGTACAGCAGAACAAATTTCATGTTTTGGCTTGGAAAAAAAAAGTCAGTTCCTGAAGGTGACTAGAGAGGCCCCATGCCATCTGGTGATGGCTGTTACATAACAATAACACAAAGCAAGGCACATGTTAGGAACATACAGTTACTCTGAAATCTCTCTTGGGGAGTGTTTTTTCAGGGATGGCACAAACACTTCTTTGATCATATCTAAAGGTAATCTATGTTTAGGGGAGAAGGACGGCTCCTTAGACATGATTGTTTGAAATTCTGCATGTTTACCAGTCTAACACTCCAGTGAATTTCTCTTTATGAAAGTGGGCAACGTTAAATGTTTCAGAACACACGTACTTTCAAATCGCTGGTTTCTTTCAGTCTTACCCATTTTTCTGCACGTTTGTCAAGTGGATGCTACCCAAATGCCTTGCTGTGCTCTTCAGAGGGCTGAAAGGGTCCTTTTGAGTGACGGAAAATTCAGATTCAAAAAGCAAACAACCCTGCCTTTGTCCCATGTGCAGTGCCTCAGTGTGCAAACCATATGCTAAGTACAGTGCTGTTGTCAGTGATGTCTTAGTTCCACAGCCTGACTTCTATATCAGCAGCTGGTCTTTGAGAATCAGAGAAAGCTTTAAGAGCCTCAGGGAGTGAAGATCTTTGTGAGACCCCAGTGCTCATTATGAAAGATCACAGTATTTTTGCAAGACAGAATGTTTTCAATGTGCAATAGTTACGGTAACTCTTCATTTCTGTCTCACTAGGAGTGATCTCCTTTTTGATGGGTGTTATTCCCTTTTGTACATGCACTGACTCTTCCCTTTTTAACTCTTTTAAACTCCAGTTGCCGTTGTGGTTTTTGCTCTTGCTGATCTCTCCAGAGATCAGTTTTGGGGCATGGTGTTCAGTGGCCAAGCTGCATGGGGAAAGAATATACAGCAGAAAGGAAGAACATGGGAGGGTGAGGGGTGGTCAGAAGAACTTTGAATTCTGACTCTTTTTAACCCTCTAGAAGGCTTGTCAGAGAGGAAACAAATGGAGCACAGTCCATGTGCATGCTTCCCTCCTCCAGTTTAGTTGTTGGAGAAACTGTTGCTGTGTGCCTGGCTTTGTGCAAGTCTGCACTGGAAATCTGAGTCTCAGAGTTGTCTTAATCATATGGTTGGAAGTTTCAACACTTTGAGCTAAGTGTCATTCTTTGCCTTCCTCCTCTTTCCTCCTAGGCCTGTGTTTAATTTTAGTGGTGTCACATCAGCTGCTTCATCACCGACGCCGTTCAGCCTCGCTTCCTCGCAAGGTTAGTTTGGGAGAGTGTGCCAACAGCATCTCTTCCTTACTGAGAGAATGTTTACTCTTCTTAATTCATGTGGTTCTTGTTCTACATTGCAGTTGTAGCACTAAAATTGCAGTAACATTACATGCCCAGGCTTCATGCAGGGCTCTGCCCCATGACACGCAGCAATCGGGGCCACCTGCCTTTCAGTTAAGAGTAAGCAAAATATTTGTTGCCAAGAACTTCTAGGAGGCACCAGTTTATGAAAAGGGTGACATCTGTAGTCATTTCCTCTGCTGTCTCTAATCTGTAGGTTTAAAGTTGCTGAGGTGGACTGACAGAGAAAACTGTCAGCCAGTGAAATGAGCGTTTCGTAATCGGAGGGAAATGCTTGGAATGGCTTTGTGTGGCTTCTGAAATTGAAGTGACAATACATAGCCTGCCTTTCCACTTCATAGGTAGACCATATTTGCCCAGCCTGGGCAAAGGGGACCAATACATCTTCTTTATAATATTTTGGAAGTTTTCTGCCTCTTAATTCCAGTCTTGTGAAAGAAGTCATATGGTCAAAAACTTGCTCCCAATGTTACTGGTTGCTCTGATAAGAGATAACACCTTTTCTTACAAATCTTGGCTTGTTTCTATCCTTAGACCATCACAGTCACAGTAATGCTACTGATACTCTGTTGATGGTAAGCAGAGAGAATGGACTGGGCTTAAATTGTGAAGGTTTGGTTAACATAAAAGGTAAATAACACGGATAAAGGAGGAGTGGGAGGTGCAGGAGAGAGACTTGCAAACCACAGCATTGTGTGAGGGCAGATGCTTCACACTGCTCTGTGAAATCTCTATTAGCTGGTGATGGAACAACAACAGAAGGAATTTCAGTGCCTCAGGAGGAAAAAAGCAATATGTTATTGAGTGTCAGTTACTTAAATATACTTAATATACTTACAGGGGAAAGCAGAAGGATAATAACAGCTCTGCTAAGAAGCTTTTGCTCTTTGTTATTTGATCTCCATGCAGATTTCCTATACTTTGTCCAAATTGGCCCAAGGTCCAAGCACCGATGCAGTGTTTTCAAGTCGGAAATTGTGTGTTTGGTGCTCAGAAATGAAATGACAGCACATTAAATAAAACTCACCCAGTCTCCCTTGAAACTTAAGCAGTTTCACACTGATGGACGGCAGTGTTTGTTACAAGTGGAGCTGCTTGGGAAATTATATTTGAGAGCTTTTCTCTTGTTTTTCAAAGCTGTGTAGAAACTGATTGGTGGTCTATAAATAGCTGAATTTGTTAAGAGTTGAATATGTAGAAGACTCTTCAAGTGTTGAGAAAGTATTTTTATGACCTAAGCTCTGTTCTGAGCCATTGGTTTAAAGAGAGTTCTGTAGTGAATGTCAGGAATTGTTCACCTGAACCAAGGAAGAAGGGGTGAAAGTGGTGTCAGTAACAAATGGTCTGTAGTAACCAGGTCTTCTAAGTTTTTATCAAACAGTTGAAAAAGAAATAGGAGTCAAAAGCAGGAATTGTCTGTACTCAAAGACAGGGATGGTTAAGTGAAGGCTATGACATGACAGTAACTTTTTCCCTGCCACCCTGGCTATAAAGGCTTCAGATGTCACTGTTGTCTCCTGATTGCATAAGAAAGTGGCAGCTGCCTGATGGTCAGAGGCTTTATAGTTTTGAGGCCAGAGCGCTGACAATCTGAGAAGTGCTAAGGTGGACTAATACTGTAAGACTGATAAATAAGCTTTGCATATCCTAACTCGATTTGTAACTACTTCTTCTCTCTCTCCCAACAGCCCCTGCTAAAGATTCTACCCAGCCATTTTTGTTTGCTGGGAGTTCCAAACTTGCCCCAGTTCCCGAGGGCTCCTTTGCTTTTGGGTCCCACAAGTCAGCAAGTGCTGCAGGAGGTGTAGGAGGAAGTAGCTCCTCAGCAGATGGCACCCAGTCAAACAAACCTGCTGCAACAACATCTTCTGCTCCCCCCACAGCCTCTGGCAAGTTGGATGTTGCTCCATCTAAACCAGGAGATCACTTGTTTCAGAGTAATCTGGCTGGGGAAACTCTTGGGAGCTTCTCAGGACTACGGGTTGGTCAAGTAGATGATAATGTCAAGACCACCACGAAAGCACCATCCACCAGTGCTGCAGGAACGCAGTCAACTAAAGTATCTACAATACCTTCTGGGTTTAATTTTGCTGCTCCCTTGACATTAGGAAAAGCTGGAGAAGCCGCTTCAGCATCAGTCACATCAGCTGGCACAGCCTCTGGGTCCATCAGCACTAGTGCCACAGGCAGTCTCTTTGGCAGTGTCCAGTTAACCAGCACAGGGTCCTCTGGGGTGTTTAATCTTGGAGGCTCTAGTGGCAGCAAACCCACCTTTTCATTTGGTATTCAGCAAACAAACAGCACGACCACATCCACCTCTACCCCTTCTACTCTCTCTGCTTCAACGTCCCTCTCGTTTGGAAGTTTCTCAAGTCCATCACAAACTGCTGTCCCTGCTGCAACTTCTAGTAAGTCTGCAGGGGATGCCAAGTTACCATCTGTGTCAGAGAAACCGTCTGAAAATGAAGCTGTAGCAGCTGTGTCTTCACCTCCAGCGGCACAGTCCCCTCAGCCACAGCTCTCAGAGCCTGTGAAAGAACCCACCTTACCCCAGGCCACAGCTGGGGACACCGTCCTGGAGGGCTCTGGCACCACCACGGCGGCACCACCTGCCCCTGAGGCCGTGGCTGCTCCTGCCTCCACCGGTGATTTGAAGGCCCCGGTGCCTCCTGCCATCTCTGCAGCCACCCCACCAGATCAGAGTGTCTCAGCACCCACCTCTGCAGCAAATGTTGCCTCTCCTGCAGAAGCCACAGGTGTGTTGGCTGCTCCCTCTGATGTTACTACAGCTGTGCAGAGTCCGGCTGTGGGTGCCCCCGTGTTTGCCCCCACTTCTGCAGGCTCCTCGGTGTTCTCTCAGCCTCCAAGTTCCAGCCCTTCTGGCTCAGCATTTAGCCAGCCTGCTGCTGGTGATGCAGCTGCCACTCCTTCCACACCCCCGGTTTTTGGGCAGCTCCCAGCAGGTACCACGGCATCCTCTCCGTTCGGGCAGCTCACCACCAGCGCTCTGTCCACCGCCACCACGCCGGCCGCCAGCTCGGGCTTTGGTACTTCTGCTTTTGGCACCACCACGACGGGGGGCTTTGGTCAACCAGCCTTTGGGCAGGCACCCATCTTTGGGCAGCCTGCCAGCAGTTCTTCAAGTGGCTTTACCTTTAGCCAGTCTGGGTTTGGGACAATGCCGGCCTTTGGCCAGCCGGCGGCTTCCACGGCAGCCTCGAGCAGCGGGAATGTTTTTGGAGCGCCGGCTAGCACCAACAGCTCCAGCTCCTTCTTTGGACAACCATCTGCCAGCACTGGACTCTTTGGACAAAGCACCCCTGCGTTTCGGCTGAGCGCTGGCTTTGGGCAAGGGGGATCTGTCTTTGGAAGCACCGCCACTGTCACCACCACCACGTCGTCTGCTGCCTTCAGCTTCTGCCAGGCTTCAGGTGAGAGCAAACTGGGAGATGTGACATGGGTTTTTTTTTCCCCCTGTGGCACCTGATGGTTTTCATTTTTTTTTTTTTTTTGGTGGTTTTTTTCCTTTCTTTGTTCTGTTTTGGTTAGTTTGTTTTTTTTTTTTCAATTAGTAAGAACAGGAGCTTCCGTGTGTGTGAGGGTGAGACTAATGCTGGAGACCAAAGAAGCTTTTGCTCTGCTTCACTATTCATCAGCAGGCCTCTCTTTAGGTGCAGCCTTGTCAATCCAATCCTGCCTTCATTTTATACTTACAAGTTTACCTTGATTTAATTTGGAACGACGTTTTGTCCTGCCTGTTGCACAAGAAATGTAAGTGTTGTAAATTGTAAATGTGGAAGAGGCAAGGCAGCTCTGAGGCCATAACCAAGGCAATGAATACAGATGCAACCCTTCCTTCAGAGGGCTGCACTGAGGACATGCAGCAGTGGATGTACAAACAGGTATAATTCCATGTTGTCATCTGGAGTGGCAAAAAAAAAATTTAAGCCTTCAAAGTGATGAGTTAGTGAGGAATAATCTGTTAAATCCGCTTTTGCATTTGGAAGCATCTCAAAATTAAATGTAACAGTAGCACGACCATCTACCTGTCCACACAGTTAAATGAAATACCCACACAGACCAAACCTCCCTTGTCAGTGTCCTTTTGTTCTCCACAGTGCTCATTTTATTGTGGTTTTTTTTTTTTTTTTTTACAGAGGTTTGTCTGTACAATCTTCAGAGACCTCCCAGGGAAAAGTGAAAAGTACATAGTAATGATAGAGAGCATGTGTTTGCAAGGAAGAAAAACTAATTAGGCTCATTTAATTAAAAATTATGGCACTGGAGGCAACTGCTTGTTCATTTTAACTACAGTAACAGAGAGTAGTTAAATTGGGGGAAGTGAACTCTGCTCGAGAAAGGTGTTCCTAATTATAGAAACGCAACTTTTATTACAAAAGGCGCATTTAAGTGAACTGGGAAATGGAAAGGGGAGTTCTTTTTTTAATCAAAACATTTCACTGTCTTTAACGGGAGCCATCAGGTAACAAAGCTCAGATCCTCCTTACACAAGGGCAGTCAGAAAGCTCCAGTGCTCGCGCTCGACTTGCAGCTCTCCTGTAACCATGCTAACAGAAATCCAACTCTCTTGGTGGTAGCAACAATCCCACAAGTGAAAAGGCCTTTTGTTGCCTGTTTGTTTTTTAAGTTGGACAGTGAGAGAAGGAGAACAACTCAAATAAACTTTTAATGTATGTTGTTATTATTTGTGTGTTGGCACATGCTTTGTATTTGTGCAGCCTCATTTGTATCCCTGGGTTTCGGTATGGAGGAGCTGTCTTTTCCCTGTCCTGGACTGTTGTCACCTCCCTGAGTGTCTTATACTACTAATAGTTCTGGTGGTTTATTTTTCTTTCTTTTCTTAGGTTTTGGTTCTAGTAACACAGGTTCTGTGTTTGGGCAAGCAACTAATTCTGGAGGCACTGTCTTTGGCCAGGCAAGTATTTATGGCTTTCTGTAGAAACACGGGACTTGATCAAGGTTCTCTATTTCTGATATATTTTAGAACAAAATACAGTTGGATATGTTCACCAAAGCAGCACCTGCATGAATGTTTCTGAGGGATTTGAAGGCACATTTTATCACAGGCAAGATAAGGCAGAGATGCAGTAAGTCACCTGCCTTTATTCCATGCTAAGGGGAAAGTGAACAATGCAGGGCAAGTCTCAGAATTTTGACTCAAAAGTTACTCTATGCCATGGATGAAGTTTGAGGCAAACTTAAATAAAATTTCCTGGCATTCTGTGTTGGAAGGTGATTGGTTGCTGGTTTGTCAGCCCCTTCATAAGTCCAGAATAGGCCAGAGCCAGAGGGAAGAGCAGCCTTGTGCTACTTTGACTTCACGTAAGTCTCTTTTTTGTCCTTTTTGTTTTCTAGCAGCCATCTTCTTCCAGTGGAGGTTTGTTTGGAGCTGGAAGTGGTGGGAGAGATGGAGGCTTCTTCAGTGGTTTGGGAGGAAAGCCAAGTCAGGATGCAGCCAATAAGAATCCCTTCGGTTCCTCCAGTGGAGGATTTGGATCTGCAGCTTCCCAGAGTAAGTGAGCAAAACAAGAATACAAAATGTGCTGTGATTTCCATCTGCTTTCGTGATCCCATCTGCTTTTCTGCTGCTGGCTGTCTTTGAGTAAATTCTGTGTTAATTTGAAAAAGGCTTTGAGGGAGTAACTGAGAGTGTGTGTGATGTGTAATCCAGAATTTTTCTTTTAGGTTTGTGGAAAACAAGTAGGGAAGCCATTGAAACAAACAAGCAGATGCAGGAAGTGTGAAGAGTACCCATGTTCTGTAGGGAATTCTTGGCCAAATCCTTAAAATCAAACACTCTAAATCGATATCACTGCATTTCTGCCTCCAACTTAGTTGGAAGTTAGAAAGCTTTGATTATTTCTCATCTGCCCTAAGACGGTGGAAATTGTTAAAGAATCAAGAGAAACCAAATTAACAAATATGCGAGGGATAGAAGTTTTGTCAACCTCCTCCTGCAGCACATACAAAATAATTCTATCAAACTTTGCTATGACCTGTAGTTAAGCAGGTAGCTGCAGAATTAGCTGCAAGTGGCTAAAAGTAGCACTTCAAGTCTTGAGAGAGTAAATCCATTTATTTTATTACATCTTTAATGATCCGTTGGGATTAATGGTTGAGGTCAGTTTTCTAACCTTGCCAATTTAATAATTCATTGCAGTGCTGGGTTTTGTGATGAAATAAAACAGATGATTCACCAGAGAAAGGCTTTGGTTGTTCTGTGTCCTGACTGTAGATGCAAAAACTCAGTGTAGCCTTGTGAAAGATGAAAACATGAGTTATTTCTCCTACTTTAAGGCCTTGTCAGATAGTAACATGGAGAAATGCTGGCCATTGCCAGAACAGCCAAGAATCTTTAATTTGTGGTTTGCTGATATTTGTGTTGTCTGGAGAGACTGATTGTAGCTGCAGGGATTTCTCACTGAGGGATTGTCTTTTACTGACTGGGGCACAGGATGCATCTAAACAAATCATCCATCGTGGTGATTTGCTAGATTGCAGCAATAAAAGGTTGTTAGTGGCCCATCAGATCCAGAATGGATCTTGGTGGAACTACAAAATCCCGTAATTGGGGAAAACTTGGCTTCTCTCTGCATTGTTTTCAGCGTGATGTTCATTCTGTGCTTGGGGGTTGGGGAAGGAAAAGGCATTTTCCTTTCTGCTGCTTCAGTTCACAAAGTGCAGGGTAGAATATTGACTGTTATGGGTATTGGCCGTTGACAAGTGTTCTTCATCCCCCCAGATTCTTCCAGCTTATTTGGAAACAGCGGAGCAAAGACTTTCGGATTTGGCAGCTCATCTTTCGGAGAGCAGAAGCCCACGGGCACCTTCAGCTCTGGTGGTGGAAGTGTGGCCTCCCAAGGCTTCGGGTTCTCCAGTCCAAACAAAGCAGGTACTTTGGGAATCCACCCACTGTGATAGTTTGTCAGGGGGATATTTAAAATTCTACCACTTAGCTCTCTACAGACTGGACTCATTTGCACATATAAGCATTGTCTCTGAACAATAAATGCAAATAACTAATGGCTTATGAATAGAACTGTAAGTAGTAGGTTCAAGGCAAAAATTTACACTCCTGTGCAAGAAAGCCCCCAGTAAGCTATATCCTCAAATGTTCATTCCAAAAATTCCCTTTGCAATTTAAGAGCAGAGAGCTTAGTTCTGGTCTTATACTCTGTACAGTGAAGAGTACGGAATATGGAACTGAATTAATTTTTCCTATTTTTAAATACTTCCTTGGATTATTATCTTACAAACTTCACTCTGGGTTTTGTAACCCTCTGTATCCCCATTTCACTACTTACAAATAGTGAAAAAGAAAGTGAAACATATTAAATGCATTGCAAAAGAGAGTGTCTGCTGAGCAAAGCTTTAGCCCCTGGGATAAGTACTATAACTTCCTAGAGATAGAGGTAACAAGATATCTGATCTGTGTTTAAATAATTCAGGCCTAGCATTTATTTTTTTTTCCAGACCTTTTGTGTTTACAGCCAAACAGTATCCATTACCTTGACATGGACTGGAATTTCACCCTGGGTATTAAAATGTGCTGTGGTATCCCATCCTCATCCCTAATCAAACAAAGGAGCAGGTGTCCTTCCCGTTCCACAGTGGCAATTAGAAACAGGCCAATAATATCAGCAGATGAACAGAGAATAAAATAATCTGGGTACAAGTCCATTGAGGGCTGCAGGAGGCAGCTAAACCCTGAACAGAAATTGCCAAGAGCAGAGCACAGTTGGTGATTCCCTGTGGGAATTGTGCAGTTCCACTGACCTGGCATTTAATCCTTGTATTTTACTTTCCACCGCTTAAATTGAGATTAAATAATACCCTACCTCCTGAATCTTTGCATCACTGGAGCATCTAAGAACCAAGCTTGCATCTGCTCTCTGATCCTGAGAGATGGGGCAGACGTGCCCATTGCACTGGGGAGTTACTCCAGCTTTAAGCACTCCACCTGCAAGAGGTTCTGTCTGCAGGACCCCTGTGTGTCCTTCCAGAGCTTTAGATTAGGAGCCAGGGTAAAACCCTGCATAAATCACAGCAGCAAGTGTTCATACTTGACTTCTCATTCCCCACTGCAGTCCTTTGTTTAAATGGTGAGGAGCAGAGCTTTAAAACTAAGGAAGACTAAGTAAGATGAGATTTTTTTTTTTTTTCTCATGGTAAAGAGTTGTATGATGAAGAATGAATGTGTATGGGGTTTTTTATATAATAATAATAATAGTAAAAGCACCAGGCTAAGGCCTCTTGTGTGTATTTGTACTGGAACGTGGTTATTGTGCACGCTTGCTGTCTCACAATTAAGACACTGGGAGTTATTTATGAAACAAGTAGAGATTCGTTCACAGTGTGCAAGCACGTGCAATATATTACCACCTTCTAGTGCAGCTCTAGGATTGATCTGTAGCACAAGAGACCCAGAATGTGGTTTTCTTCTGGACACTCATTTAATTTGGTTGCAGTTTCCCACATGCATTCAGGCACTTCTTCCCCGTTTCCTTTGCAACCAAACGCCCTGCAGTCAGTTTTATAAATAATGTGATGCTCATACCATAAGATGGAAAAAACCCCATAATCTACTTGGAAACCTAGTTTTTTCCTTTCTCTTTCTCTGTGTTATTATTTATGTGATGTTCTTGTCCCCCCTTTTTTTTTTTTTCTTTCTTTTCCTTTTTTTTTTTTTTTTGTTTTTTTGTTTTGCCTCTGTTTTGCTCAGGTGGCTTCGGTGCTGCTCCAGTGTTTGGCAGCCCTCCCACTTTCGGGGGATCCCCTGGGTTCGGAGGGGTGCCAGCATTCGGTTCAGCCCCAACCTTTTCAAGCCCTCTGGGCTCAACGGGAGGCAAAGTGTTCGGCGAGGGTACTGCAGCAGCCAGCGCTGGAGGATTTGGGTAAGGCAACCCGGGGAAAACAACATTCCTGCATGACAAGATTATGCTTAGTTATCTCTGCATTAACGGGAAGAATACGGGGATGGTTTGGCGAGCTCAAAATGCCCTTGGTTTGTTTGTTTTAAAACAACAATTAAGGCGTAAAGCTTAAGACTCTAACCCCAAAGGAAGTAATGGGTGTGATCTTATTTTAATGCTGATGCTACTGTGTGGAATCTTTAGCTTTAGAGATGTCATCTTCCAATTCTCTAAGGAAATGCAGGAGTATTTCACTTAATGAGTGCAAACCTAGGGCTACGAACTATGCCTAGCAAGGAAAATAACAAGTATTGTTATCTGTGACTCTGTCCAGCCACCTTATCCACTGGTTGGATTTGGGCTAGAGCTACTAATGAGAATTCAGGCTGTTCCCTCACCTTTGGGATGTGGCACTTGTAACAACCTGTGCTCCCAGAGCTCTTCATGTTCATCCCACACTGATTGTTTTTACCTGTTTCTGCACCCCTTTAAGCCTGTGCTTGGCACCAGAGCAGAGAGTAAATTATTCCTGGCTTTGTTCAGCAAATACAGAATTTCAAACCTTGCAGAGCAGCTTCTGCAGTTGGCAGTGAGTGCACTTCTTGAACACTGTGCCACCAGCCAGCAGTGCTCCCTCATGCCCTGCAGTTAAACTCAGGCTGAACAGAGCCAATTAAAAAGAGGAAAAACTTCCAGTGAGGAGAGGAAACCGGATGTCTTCCCAATCCTGCTGTTTACATATTTCACAAGTGTTTGTCTCTTTGTCTGGTTTCAGGAGGAACTGCCTTTATGTAAGACACATCAGAACATCCCAAAGTGTCACTTGTTAATCCCCTGAGAGGTTAGGGCAGGTACCTCTGAGCTGTGGGGAGGCTTCAGCCGGTGGTTCTGCTGCCCCGAGCTCCGGTGCAGCAAATTGGAGAGTCCCTTTGGGAAGGGTGGGATTGAATCTCCACAAAGAAGGATGCACTTGTAGGGATGGCTTGGCTTAGCTTAGCTCAGCTCAGCTGATTTGTTGTTCAGTTCCAACATCCAGCCATTGTGCTGCAGGATTTTGTACTGAAACTGGATGTGCTCCCTGACAACGTTGGAAGCTTAAAAGATAAAATGGGATTCAGAACAAGCAGCGTGTTGATGAAACAGAGGTCTTGCATAAGCAGTCTGCAGAATCAAGAAAGATAATTCAGTGACTGAACTTGTGGGAAGTTTTGACAATTTTTTTCTCTACTAGAAAGGTGCAGACTCGGTCTGATATTTTCAGAGTTGCCTGAGGAATTTGATTTTGATTTTTAAAACTTTTGAGTGTGCAAAATTCCCAGGCAGCTTTACAAAAATCCAAATCTTGCCACAAAACGTTGAGCAATAGTTTAATGCTGCGGCATAATGTAGCATCTGTGTGGGATTTCCTTTCTGCCTTTTTCCTGAAGTGAAACTTTAAAAATCCCAATTCCAAAGAAGTTACTTGCCAGTACATTGTGCCGTATTAGCTCCGAGTTCCTGAGAACACCCTGCTGACTGAAATACATGTGATTCATACTGCCTCAATTCTGAAAAATCTGCATCACTCAATAGATGACTGGGGTGTCAAAAATAGAAACCACTACACTTCTTCAGAGTCTGCAGTTCTGACTGTTTGTGAGCAAATAATGTTTTGCTTTCATAAACTAACCTCAAGTGCCTCTCAGTTGTGTTTTGCACAGCAGCTTTACAAAAGACCTGGAAACCTGGGCAAGATAGGTTGGATTAAATTGTTACCAGGGAGTGGCTGCATCTCATGTCTGTTATATGTTTGGAAAATATCTGTCCGTAGCTTAAGCTGTTCCTTACTGTGTAGCCTCTCCAAGAAGCTTGTTTTAGTTGCAGCTGAAAGCAGCAGTTTGAACCACAAGTTTTCCTCGTCACTATTTTCACCTCCACTGCCTTACACCGGATAGACATGATTTGGGAGTTGTGGCGTAGTCCTGAGAAGATGGAGCGCTGCAAAGCCTCTTGTTCTAAAAGTATCACCCCATCTTGCTTCTCTCTTAAAAGAACTGAAAAAACCTGCTCTGCTTTTCCTGAGAAAAGCACATTTGTGGCTCTGAGCTGAAGCTGCCTGCAGGGCACAGCGGTCAAGAGCCAAAGCAGAGGCACAGGGGATGGGTGGCAGGGCCAGAGATGCAAAGTCACTGAACTGCCCTGGTATCTCCTGCTGCCTGTGGGAGCAGTGTGTGCACTTGGCAGCGTCTGGGAGAGGAGAGGTGATGTCCTTTTACCAGGTGACTTGCTTGTCACTCTGCTGCAAAGGCTGTCTTTTATCTGTAGAGATAGCTTTTGATGTGGGTTTGTGTTTTGGGGGGTTTTTTTAAAGTCTGCTGGATGTGGATGGATGGAGAGGTGGGTTAACGTGCTGTCAGGTTATATTTTAAGTCAGAAACGACAGGAGCTTGGGTGAGGCACAGCTCTGCAAAGCTGGCACGCTGTGACTGGTCCAGCTCTGCTCGGGGGAGGCTGTGCTGGGTTAGTGCTGGTAGAGTTGTGCACTTGCAGAGCTTCAGCAGAGCTTGGCATTTGGAAATCTCGTGGCTGCGTTTTGCCCGGTTTAAGTTAAAACTTGAAGGTCGTTCTTTGAGTGCATTTCTTACATTCAGAATTAGGAGAAGTGTAGAGGGGGCAGAGAACCACAATGCATGTCGTGGTCTCATTAATGTGTCGTGCTGAGAGCTCTGCACTGCCTGGTTGGACAGAGTGGGTGGAGAAAGGAGACAGATTTCCATATATAAAAGTGTTTCTTATCTCAGTCCCCAAAGGCAATTAGGGAAGGGAGCCAGAGGTGATGGGGAGAAGTGCCAGGTAGATGCAGATCTTCAGGAAAGCACTGGAACTCTTTGTCGTTCAAAATGGGCTGGAGAATAAAAAAGGAGTTGAGAAATGTGCAGACAGTTCCATGGGCAGTGAGGAAGGTACACCCTGAAATTTGGGAGTGTGGGTTCTGTATCTGTGCTCTGCTTTGTGCTGCAGCCATATTAATTCTGTGTTTGCTGCCTTGTTTGTGAAACTAAATGATGCTCTATTTTTGGTGAAAACTATACAGAGAGGTGAATTAAAATATCCCATTTGATGGCTGGAGTTGGTATTTCCAAGCACTTGAAAACATACTCTGTGTAAGCATGAACATGTTTGCCTTTCTGCCTGGTGTATGTTAAGAATGGGAGCTGAACAGACATTTCTATGTACAGTAATCTTTCCCAAACCAGAAACTCTCTTTCCAAAATGAGCCATCGTAATTATTCATATCAGTTGTTCTCACCTTTTGATGTATCCTCCCTTAAGGAGTGCACTGTTACCATTGATATGGGGACAGACTTTCCGTGTAAGTGAGGAGGTGTTTACAAACACAGCTTTTCTCTTTAAAAACTGCAGGTTTGGTGGTACCAGTAACAACACAGCATCGTTTGGCACCCTGGCAAACCAAAATACCCCCACGTTTGGATCCCTGTCGCAACAGGGCACCGGCTTCGGCACACAGAGCAGCGGATTCTCAGCTTTTGGGACAGGTGGAGGAGGTAGGAGAGGCCAAAATTAGCATTTGGATGATACTCTCAGGCACATGGTCTTGGGGATGGTGGTGTGCAGGGTTGAGGGTTGGACTCGATGACCCTGGTGGGTCCTTTCCAACTCAACGTGGTGTGTGATTCTGTGAAAATATAACGACCCTAACAACCTCCATGTCTCTGGTTTTCCCTGGAAACTGGGTGTGACTCATCAGTTCCCTGCCAAAAATCTGCTCTGCTATAGGGAAGGCACCATGTCCTGGAAAACTGAGCTGCAGGGTGGGCTGTAGCACCTTCTCAGCCTTTAGCCCCTAATTCCATCACTGACTTGCTGTATGGCATGTCAGTCCATCCCTCCTCTGCACGCCTCACCAGATTATTGCTTTTCATCCCTTTTTGTGGAGTTGCTCTTTCTCCTCAAAGGAAAATACTGAGAAATAATTAATTAATATCTGCTCAGTGCCGTGCACATGGGTCTCTGTGTGTAAGTACTGCTGTCAGAGGAACATGCACTGCAAAATTGAGCTGGAGCACCAACAGCCAAGTGGTTTTCTGCCACAACTGAGTGATTTACCCAGGGCTGAGAGCACAGCCTGTGGAAGGCCACGTTCAGTGGTGGCTGCCTGTCACCAAGGGCTTGCATAAAGCACAGACCATCTCCAGAAAGCTGCTCTGAGAGAGCTGAATAAACCAGGCACGTTGTCTGCAGTGCTGCTAATGAATGGCCTGGCTGATGAGCAGTGAAAGCCAAGCCCTCTGAGGAGCCAGGCAAGTCACTTCTCTTCTAGGCAGAGATTTGACTTTCATTGTTTGCCCATCTTTTATTTTTTTTTTTCCCCCAGGCCTAAGGCAGGAAAGAAATATTTTTCAATCTGTGTGTGGGAGGGGGCATTTACTACAGATCTCATGTGTTCATTTTTCCCTTTTAACAACTATTTTTTTCTAATTTTGCAGGGTTTGGTTTTGGTTCAGCTAACACGTAAGTACCATTTTTGTATCTAATTTTTCAATAAAAATACAAATAGAATCAGAAGAAAGAGTTGAATAGTTTAGAAGAGCAAGCTCTGAAAATAACAATTAAATACTGGTGCTGATTTCCATTTTGGTGGCACTGCAGAGAGCTCAGAGTCCAGGCTCTGTGCTTTCCAGTGAGGTTCATCTGTCTCACAAGAGAGAATTTCCAGTTGGATCATGCTTTTTCTCCACCTCTCAGGGACATGATGCGTGTGCTCAGACTATGTGTGTGAGAATCTAAAAATCTCTTCCATTTATCAGGTTGAAACAAGGAATGAAATAAATTGGTACTTCTGTGGCTGAAGCGAGATGATGATTTACAGCTAAAGGTTAACTCTGTCATCCACTCTGCCTGGCTGGGTCGCTTCCAGCAAGTTTCTTAAACTTTGTTTCCCTGTCAGGCAGAGAGATCATGGATCCCTGCAGATGACAGGCTCTAGAATAAGCACAATTATATCTACTTAGGGTGCGTTGCTGCAGGCTCAGGTAAAAGATGCTGGAAATACTCCTGTGTTCTCATAAAAAGCTTCTGGTACCAGGGAGACTTGGAGGTTTGATTGAGAGATCTGCTGAATTAATGCTGCCTGAGGGAGGCTCTAACACTCACTGCTGTGGTTTTCTTTTTTTTTTTTTTTTTTCCATTTCCTTGCTCCACAGATCTTCCTCTGGATTTAGTGGATGGAGAAGCTAGGAAGGTGCTGAACTCTCCTGTAGAACTGTGCTGTAGCTCCTGCCTTCTTGAGTCACCTACAAGATCAATATCCAACCAGCTTTTCTTTTAAATACGAGTTCTCAGACTTTTTTTTCCCTTTTTTTTTTTTAAGAAGAAGAAGAAAAGATTTTGCTTATTTTTATGCAATACTTGTTCTCGCTCTATATTAAACTATTTTATCTGCCTTGATGTTATTTGTGTTGGAAGGGTTTATCTCTGTGTTCTGGGGTTTCCAGCTTTCTCTTCATCCCGTACCTTACACAAGGGAGCAGCTCCAGTTGGTTCCTGACATAAACCAGCACATTTTTCATTAAGAGAAATGCCTGATTATCCCAGGCTCTTAAGAAGGGGCTGAGGTTTACCCTGCTAATTTTAAGTCTAGGATGGGGCACATGCTTATCTCAGTGAAGTGCTAAAACTGAGTCATGTGTGAGCCAGAGGCTTAGTGGAGGAATAGGAAATTATCTGAGAAGAAGCTGGCAGCGTGCAGAGCACGTTCCCATGGCAGTAACATTCAGCAAAGAGGTGGGAAGTAAAAGCTCTCCTATTTTTACCTTTCTGCAAATTTTACAGAACTCAAAAAAAAAAAAAAAAATGGAACTTGGGTTATAGGGAAAACTTCTGGCCCTGGAAGTGGACACGTGACCTCCATCCAGAGCCATCAGTGATTCTGGAGCTCATGGCTTTGGTTGGTGGATTTGGATACAATTTTTTTTTTTTCTAACACGGATGAGTCTGTGCTTTTTCCCCTGTAGCTTTTGGCTTTGGTCAATGCTGTTTGTAAAATTCTCCTGTGTTTATTAGACTTGAACACACTGAGCCAATGTTTTAGAGAATGCCCCGAAGGCATTCTGGCCAAACACTTCTGTTTGATGCATCTGCCCTCCGTGAAACCTCCAAATGATGCAATCAGCTTCTGTGTTCTCTTTGGAATAAGGTATTTGAAATAATATCTCATGTGTCAGCTGAGTACATGCAGATTGGATGGGTTTATCTTGTTGGTCCTGTTAGGATGTTTGGGGGTACTTCTGCTTCTTCTATTTTTCAGCAGAAACATTTTTTTTTCTCTTTTTTTTAATACCACATGATATGACAGGTGACATGTTATGGTTTGGTGGGCCTGTGGTCACTTTTGGGAATTGTAATTGGTTGATATTTTTTTGTTTTCGTGTCCAGCATTATAAACTACTCTGATTTGTCAACAGTTCCTGAAGAAATCACTTCTTTCAAATCAGCCTAAAAAGTCAGTGTCCTAACTCCTGTCCTGGCTGTGGCTGGTGTCCTTCCTATCTCTGCACCTGAGAACAACCTTAGGTGGCTTCCCTTTAAGAAGGAAGAAATGTGGGAAATTCAGTGTACAAGGAGGGGTAGTTTTTAGCTGTGGAGGGGCTTTGGAAGGCCACAGGCTCCCAGGCTTTTCCATTTGCCCTGGATTTATGGACCCAGGTGTGCTGTGGGTCGTGTTAGAGGCAGCACTGCTGGGATTTGTGTGGGACCTCCCAGCCCATGTGATGGAAGAGGGAGAGTGCTGGTGATCCAGCCCTGGAACAGAGGAGGGAATGCTGCAAACTTTGCTGGTTGGAGGTGAAGAAAAGCTGAAGCTGGATTGAAGTGTGCCCCTCCCAGTGTGTTCCCCTTGACTAGACAACATTTCTTAAGGCCTAGAGGTGAAACTGTTGTTCTGCTCTCCTTCCTCTTTATAAATAGCAGCTGGCCCAAACCACTGACCTTAAATTCTTTGCATTAATCTTCCCTGGCTGTGGCATGTGACACCTCTTCTCCAGGCCCTATCAGCTGTGCTCCCCCAGATAGCTCAGAAACCTCTTGCTATGGAGAAGATTGGCTTGGTAAGAATGTGATGTTGGCATGCTGAGCCATTTGAAGTTTCTTTTTTGGAATGATGGGAGCAGTTGGGGGTTGTCCCTTGCTCTGCTGCTTGGTACCTCTTTTAACTCCTGGCAGGGGAAGTGCCTTCAGAATTACTCCAGACCCATTTTCTTGAAATGCTTCCCAAATAACGGTTGAAACAACCCAACCCTCTGAACTATCTGCCCTTGAGATTCGGGTGCTGCTCCTGGTTTCCATAGTAGCTGCTGGAGGAGCTGAGCAGTGCAGAGGCTGATCGTGACCACAAGCCTACAGGAATATGCACAAACCCCAGCAAAGTCGACTCTGAAAAAATCTGCATTTTCATTAGATGACTCAAGGACTTGGCAAAGTGCTCGTGGTGCTCGTTTGGTGGTTGCCAGAAGCTGTCACGGGCTGTGTCACATCTGTGCCGAGTGGCCTGTGGTCATGGGGCCTCTGTCTCCCTCCTGTTTTGGGACTGATGTCCACAAAGAGTTAAGCTGCTAATGTAGAAAGCCCCAGTCTTGGCAGTCCTGGAGAAGAAGTCAAGGACTAACCAGGCTTGGAGTCTCATTCTGGTAGTTTGTCCATGTTGGTTAATCCTCTGATAACCAACAGCACTTGCCCCACCACTGCTCTGAAGGAGCTTATCCCTTTGTCTGTGCCAAGGTGGTTGTGCCTCTCTTTTCCTGCCACTTCAGTGTGAGCAGAAATCTTCCAAGGCTTTTATCAAAGGGGGAGTCTTAATTATTTCTAATGAAAGAACACACTTATTTTCCTCTCCCCTGAGACCACGCCTGGCCTCGAGGCAGCGGAGAGCCGAGTGCTGGTGATGCTGCTATGGCAGAGCACCAGGGATGGTGTCACACTCTGGTGGGCAGAGGGGAGCCTGAGGCACAGAGAGGATTCCCCAAACCCATGGGGAGACCAGACTGGGGATTTCTGCTTCCTCCAAGGCTAGAAGACCAACAAAGAAAGAGTTTTTTCCTGGAAAAGGAGCCAAGAAAGCACACCTTTGTCACAGAGAGGTAGGAGAAAAATATTTAATTTTATGTTTTAAGGGTTTGCACTGTGTAATGCTTGGTGTTCCAGAATGTGGGTGTCTTGCAGAGTACCAGTGGTCTTGGCTGTATCTGGCTCTTTCTCTTGGGAAGGGAAGGACATCGTTCCTTTGGCCCTTCTGTGTCACAGTGCTGTGATGCTGAGGTGACTGGAGGACAAATGCCAGTGGCATCCCACTGCTGTCAGACTGAGAAGGGATCACAGGGCTGATCCTGTGCTGCTGGGCTATATCCCTGGGCTTGCCTTGTCCCTCCCAGCCACCTTCCTGCCTGAGCAGTGCTGGGGGCAGAGCTGGTGCGTCCCTGACTAAAATCCTGGTGATGTCCCATGGGAGAAACCAGACGTGTTCCTGACGTGATCATCCTGCTCAGGATGGGCTTCTCAACCTCAGCAGTGGCTGCTGTGGTGTGTTCACGTGTGGGGTGAGTGTCAGGGATGAGTAAGATCCCCGTGAGAGACAAGGGAGGTTGGAAAAGTGCTGCTGGACATCTCAGCCCCTTGCTCCAGAGGCCATGGGAAGGTGAAGGCAGGTTGTGGCACTGCCTCTCCTGCCACCCCTTTGCCCAGGAACCAGGGACACTGGTCTCTGTCCTTTCCAGTGGAAATTCCAGTGTGGAATTGCCTCCCTTCTCCCTGTCAGCCACGGACGTGTCCCTGCACTGCAGGCTCAGAGGCTGAAGTCACATTTTATTTATCCCTTCTTAGTTTTCATGTGTCCCCTGTGCTTTGCTTTCAGCATTGCTTACAAGGAAAAATAATCCTGCATGAGGCTTTGGCATGAGCGTGTCTGGGAGTGCCAGGGGAGTTTTTGTTCCTAGATAAATGTCGTGTGGAGCCCCAGGGGCTGGGAAGAGGCAGCTGTGGCTCACAGGGATGAGCAGCTCTGGGTCAGCAATGGGTCCATCCCTGTCCTCCCTCTTGTAGCAACGAGGCTCCAGGGTCCTGCAGCCACTGAGAACGGGCACTCAGTGCTCTGGTTTAGTTCCCAGGGGGGTGGTTGGACTCGATGATCTCGGAGGTCTTTTCCAACTCAATGATTCTATGACTCTTCCTCACCCAGGGATGAGTTTGGATGATGTGTCCACATGTTTTTCAGCTCTGCACACCTACCTGTGCCTGTGGGATCGACCCCCCCCCAAGGGCCCTGTGGTTGTGCTCAGCACCACCCCCTCCCCTCCTTTTTCTGCAGCTCCTAGAAGGTCACAAAGCTCCTTCTCTACAAACATGTGTCTGTCCCTTGCTGCAGAGCCAGGACTTTCCCCCTGCCTGCCCTTATCTCACACAGGCACACTCTGTGCTGCCAGTGCCTGGATTGGGACTCGACCGTTCCCTGTGCCCGAGATAAGCTCAAGTGCTGTGGCTCCACTCCTGGGACTGTGGTGCTGCTCTGGCCTCAGGCTGCAGTTCTGCCTCCTCACAGACCCACCCCAGTGCTGGAAGGACCCGTGACCCCCCCCTACACCACCCTCTCCTGGAGCAGTGTGGAGCTTGCTCCCAGTGCAGGCTCCTCACAGAACATTAGCAGGTGCAGAGTTTGGGGGAAACGTGGGACAACCCCAAAGTTATGAGTCGTGGTAGAGTCAGACTTGGCTCTCCAGTGCTGCTCTGCCATGGTTGGGTTTCTTCATAGAATCACAGACTGGTTTAGGTTGGAAGGGACCTAAAAGCTCATCCAGTTCCATTCCCTTGCCACAGGCCAGGACACCTTCCACTATCCCAGGTTGCTCCAAGCCCTGTCCACCCTGGCCTTGGGCACTTCCAGGGATGGAGAACCCACAGCTTCTCTGGGCAACCTGTGCCAGTCCCTCACCACCCTCTTAACAAAATCCTTTTTGCCAGGACTCTGTAGCCAACAGACAGCTTTTTAGGGACCAATTTACAAAGGTAACTAAAGGCAGCCCTGGGAATCTCAGTGCAGGTTGTTTGAGGAGCTCTGTTGTAATTCATGTGTCAACTCATGACACTGTATTTTTATTTTATTTTTAATAGATGCTTCAAGCTCTTCGGGGCATTGCTAAAAATATTTTGCTTTAAGACATGAAGGAGCAAAATGAGCATTTGCAGCTGTTGCACATGAGCAGCTTAAGATGTGAGAGAGGAGAAATAGGAAACAAAGCCTGATTTGCATCAGCAAAGGGAAGTCCCTGCAAAGAGTTTCAAGCAGGAACTGTGGGGGTCAGAGGGTATTTCTTCAAACGAAGTAACCGCTGCCCCAGTTTGCTTAAAACTGAGGTTAGAAAATCACAAAGCCAAGGGACAAACCTGTAGAAAGGTGAAG